TTCTTTTCTTCTCTCAGAGAGCCATGGGAATATGGTGCTGTGAAGTAACTGAGATCAGCTGGTGTGACAGAATGAGGAGCTGTAGATCAGAATTAGAGATTTCTTCTATCAGTCTCATTTCTGTGTGGGCAGCTTCTTTGCTTGTTTTTTTCTGCCTCTCATTCAGCTTGGTCCCTCTCTTTCAACTATGTGGACTACAATATTTTCTTCTTTTCTCCATGTCAGCTTGAAATTTAAATGCTTGAAAGCAGGTGCTGGTGTTTTCATCCAGATCAGTTTATACTGAGCAGTTCTGGAGGCTTAAAATGTAAGGAAGGCAAACAGGGAATTTGTGGCTTCAGCCCTCTCTGGGTGAGAGGCTTTGTTTACCCCACAGTTTTGGATTTATGCACCTCAGTTTTAGACTAACTAGGAAGAAAAGTTTTATTTTTATGGGTTTTTCCCTCTATGGAGGCAAGTAAAAAGTCTAAAGATGGATTAAGAGCAAAAAACTATGATTTTTTTCTCCTACTGTAGGGTGAGGGCTCCTAGGGCTCCCCTTTAGCTGCCTGAGACTGAGCATAGTAGCTATTAGACTCATAATCTATGGATATTTTAATTAATTTTTTCAGGAACTTGAGGCTATACTGGGGATTTAATATTCACAAGGCACTTGGTCTTGCTGAGAGACGATTCCAGGAAGATAGAGGATAAAGCAGTTGCAGAAGGAAAAGTTAAACTAAATGAAAATTTAGAAATGCTAATCAAGGAAAAAAAGATTCCCTGCAAGTATACAAATATCATAGGAAAAACAAGGTAAAAATGATAGTTAGACAGTGTTGGTATTATAGTTTATAAATCATGATAAAGGGTAACAATCAGCAATTCAATGGCTGAAAATTATAGTAAAATATAGAGTAAAATATATAAATATAATAAAATATATAGTAAAAATATATAGTAAAGTATATAGTAAATATAAAGAAAATATAGTAAATATATAGTAAAATACATATATAATAAAATTAGATAGTAAAATACATTGTAAAATATAATAAAATTATAGTTAGACAATGTTGGTATTATAGTTTAAAAATAATGATTTATAGTTTTAAAAAAAGTTGTTAAAAATTATAATGGTATTATAGGTTAAAAATCATTTTCGTGGCTGAAAATTATAGTAAAATATATAGTAAAGTATATAAATAAAATATATATAGTAAAGTATATAGTAAATACAAAAATATATAGTAAATATACAGTAAAAATATACAGTAAAACGTATAGTAAAATATTTATATATAATAAAATGATTCAATGTTGATATTATAGTTTTAAAATCATGACAAAGGGTAACATTCAGCAATTCAATGGCTGAAGTAGAAAATGCCAGAGAAACTGGGAGTCCATAGATGTTTTTGTCTAACTGGTGTGTTTATGCTAGAAAGAAATGTATAATCTTGGATTATTGTGTCCAGTGCACCACAGTTAGCTTGTTGTGAGTTTAAAGGTTTTGTTGAAGGGTATGATTTCAGTCAGGTGCTGCAGAGTTCAGAATATCCACAAGGAGCCTGCATGGGCAGAATTGTTATCTGAATACCAGAACATTTAGACTGTTTTTCACCTGCCTATTTTACCTGCTGTAAATTCAGAAATTCAGCCTGTGTGAAAATCAGAGGTAATGCTTTTTAATGTATGAAATAAATATGAAAGAAACCTGAAGACTGTGCTGAATTACAGCTGAGAATCACCTGTGCTAAACCCTGCCCCAAGGGAGAATTTGTGTGCACAAAGGGAGCACCTCAAACAACAGACCAGCTTTCCTGTGAAGCTGTTGACATTTCTGTGAGGAATTGGACAATATCTTTAGGAACAGCAAAAGGAAATCTGCTTTTCCCACAAGCCAATGAAGAGGACACCGGGTGAGGAATGAGTCACAGGTGTTTACAATTTGTTAACAAGTAGGGTCTAATTAGATAGCAAAGCCCTTCTGTTGGAGAAGGGTTTGCTGGATTTCTGCCGTTTTTTGGAGTGCTTTAAATATAATCTCAATTTAAAAAGTTTAGAAAGGAGTTGTTGAAATAGTCCCTGTGCCATGGACTCCAACAGAAGAAAAAGCTCTGGTGTCCTGCAAATGAGCTGCACTTTCAGGTGATGAGCTGTAAGTAATTGGAAAGGTGAAGTTTCAAGGCAATATTGAAACCTAAATCAGTGATACTTTGCAGTCTTGGTATGATTCAGGCAATTTTTTGTGGCAGGGTTTAGTTTGTCTGCTTGTTTGGTAAGTTGGATTTTTTTTATTGGGTTTTTATTTGGCCTTTTTTTTGAGTGGGTTTTTTTGTTTTTGTTTTTGTTTTTGTTTTTTGGTATATTTGTGGTTGTTATTGTTGATTTTTTCTTGTTTTCCCCAAATGGTAATGTGGTGATATAAAAGTACAGATATGTGGCAGCCATGGCAGCCTACTTAGTGGCTCTGAAAAAAATGAAGGCTTTTATATCAAGTAAATGTTTTGTGGTGGCCTTGGTTGTTTCTTTGTGCTTTCTACAAATGTTCCAGAAAATCAACTTTCATTAGCAGACATCATTAATGGAAGACTTGATGAGTGTGTGAGCTTTAGAAAGCAGCCCCCAAAGTTTGAGTTTTAGTGTTGAGTCATTGTTCCCAGCCCCAGTAGCACTGGGGGGTGCAAAGGTTATTTTCTTCTATTCTGCCATGGCAAATAAGAACAGGTGTTTCCAATGCAGCTTTCCACCAGCCAGCATTCTTACTAGCTGTTTATTTAAAACTCCAATCAAAGGCTTCCTACCATGTAATTGATGTCAAATTAATATTATTTTGTACATGTAACTTGCATTTTCCATACACAGTAGTTTATTTTCACCATCAAATGAGGAGGTTTCCTGCATGAGCCAGTACTTACTATGAATTGTTGGAACTGCTGTTATATGCTGCATTAAGTACAGTCATGTCTGTGGTGATGCTGCATTTGTGCTGTCAGGGCCTCCCCAGAGCCTCACTGTTTTCCTTCTGTGTGAGCATGTCCAAATTTACAGTGCCAAAGCAGGACAGTGTCTTGGCTCAGTCCCAAATCTGGTGAGATTTTGTAAAAACCAGGATTTATTGGCTCATTTTTCCTGCTTGGGCTAATCAGAAAGCATTCTCTGAGGATGCATGACCCATATTCTTAATGAGAACTTTTAAGAACTTGATTTTTTTTTTTTTAAATCCCTAACTTTTGTTATCTGATCTTGTTTTAGAGTATCTTTAATGGTCCTGTGCAATATTGATGTAGGGACAGGCTCTGCCCTTGCTTCATGGGAAACCTGAGGGGCATTTTCAGCATTTGGCTATGGGAGAGCTTTCCTGGCCTGGGCTCCGTGGTGCTGTTTAGTTCCTTATTCTGGCCTCAAGCTTAGTCACTGCCAAACTACTGTTGCTCCCTAAATGTTATTGTGGTCACTGTTGCTCCTTAAATTTTTGCTAGGATCTGGGGATGACTGAGTTGTACAGCCCCATTGGCCATAAAAAGCTTTTTCAAAAGGCTGGTGCTTCTGGCCTGCCTTGTGGGAACCTTAAGCCTTTGTCTAAGGTGCCTCCAAAAGGCTGGTAGCCTGTGACTGCCTGGTTATTCAGACTGAGGCAGGTTTCTTGGATTAGGGGAGGTTAAGATCTTCTATTTTCTCCAAACTGACCTGCCTTGGTGCATGGGCCCTGCTTTGGGTGATGCTTTCTGAATCCCTGCTGATAGAGAAGCCCCCTGTGCTTGCAAATGTGAGCTGCTGGATGCAGAGGAGTAGAAAAAGCAAGAAAGAGAAAATTTCATACTAGTACACCATAAACTGCATCCCTTAGGATTACCAGGTTTCCTTCAAAACAGAGGAACTGAGCTTTGAAAAATCATAGCGGTACCAGAGTTGTGTCCTGTCTTGTTAATTGGTTTCAATGAAGGCACAAAAGGTAAAATTAAAAAAGAAAGTCAGTTTTATGAAACAACAAGAAATTTTATTAAGATATTTTATTATGTGTCTCTGTAAGGAATAGACCAACAACCATATAAAAGCTTACAAAGATGGTTAACCTTCAACACTATAAATGTGTTAATGTGACAGAAGAAATTCACAATTTTGCATCTTTATTGACTTTTACAGAGTGAAGGGAGAAAACTCTCAACTATGACATGCCAATGACAATCTTTGACAGGAGACATTTACAATTGCTTTAAATCCTTTAACTTTTTGCTTTTTTGAGCAAGTCAATAACCCTGACTTGCAGAGTTAGGAGTGAAAAATACATTAGCACCATCATATTAGTCTTTTACACTTCCCTAATTTTAGTGGTCTTGACCAGCAATGACAGGAAAGTAGAGAAGCACCTTTGACAAGAGAATACAATCCAACAATAAAATTATGGTGACTACTGACATTAAGGTATTAAACTCTTAAGATAAACTGTACCTTTCACAGCTAATCAGTACAGAAATAAACAATTTTGTACCAAATGAATCCCCGGAATTGACCACTGGGTCCCATGCATTTTGATTGAATTGATTGCTTTTTGGTTTGACTCATCAGACACATCCCAGTTTCTGTCCATGTTGAGGTAGTTGAAACAGGGAGGTCATTCTAGCTTTATGGACTGCATCTTGAAAGAAGGGTAAACTTTGGTACTGGGAGCAATCAGTGCTTTGTAAATTGGCTAACATTCAACTAATAGAACACAGTGTTGTTTTATTAAGTGTTGAAGTTTCATTATAGCACCACGGAGACATGTTTCGAAGATGGAATTCGGTAAAAAAAATAGAGCAAAAAAAAAAGCATTTGTACTGTATTTTGTGTAATAGCAAAAAAAAAAAAACCCAAACCAACCCTTGATATCAAATTGATTTTTCCCCCAGAAATTTTGTTAATAAATAACTGGGATACAGATGGGCACCTGTACTAGCTGACAAGGCTGAAACAAAGGAGCACAGTTGGAGTGTGAATCTGTTTGCTGGGGTTTCAGAAAAAGCAGGATCTTTGATTTATAAGAAGCAGACTGGGCCAATGTCCACGCCAAATTCCTGATCAGGACCACCAATATCTAATGGTGCAATATCAACCACCGGCAACCTCATGGTCTTGCGCGTCCTGTATTCGAAAACTGTTTTACCCCACTCACCAGTGTGTTTCTGTGAAGTTAAACAGAAAAGAAAAATTGTTAGAGACACGAGTGCTGGCCTACATGGCAGTCATCCCACAGCTTATCAGATTTCAGATTTCCTTTTTCTGCAATAACAAATCCTCTCAGCCTGTTGGAGACTGGTTGCTGTCTCTGTAGAAATGACCCCAAGAGGGAGAACTCATGGAGAGTGTTTGAGTTGTCCATTTGTTACTGAAAAGGCTGCAGGTGCTGTCAGACCTGCACACTCAGGGATGTTCCTGCTCCCCTCCAGAACTTTCTGCTGCAGGGATGCAATGTTAGATCTGCAAAATGACTGTGTTTGCCCCTTCCCATAACTGCAGCCCATGGCTTCAACCATATAGCCATGGTTTGGTATGACTAGTTTTAGAGTTGACAGGGGATGGATGAAAACTTGGTGACTGACTTCCCTGACATTGACTCTAAAGCAAGGAGATATCTATAAAGCACAGATTTAAATGGAAGTGCGCCTCACTTCCTACAGTTGCTGCAGGAATTGCACTTGTGGTGCACAGAATCTAGGTTCCCCCTACTAGCTGTAGCTCTGTCTTTTCCTTACCCAGGCCATGCAAACCTCTCTTCCTTTATTATGGGTCTAGTCATCTAGAGGGAATTATTCATTAACTACAGCACTAAATTTCTGTTTACTTACAGTGCAGCCATCTTCCAGAACAGCATATGTGAATTTGCTGTTTCCTTCAGCCTTGATCTCACTTTCTGTAGAGCTCATGAGTTTCAGAGCTTTTTTAACATTGCCACTGTCGTGGTCCATGTAGGCAATGCTGTTCTTGCAGTGGTAGGTGATGTTCTGGGAGGCACGGCTGGAGAGGATGCGCAGGAAGGCCAGCTGAACTTCAGAGACATCCTCTGGGAGCTCAGGATCTCCATAGCTGAACTGCAGAGTACCAACATAGGCACAGCGTTTGTTCAATCATGTCTAGGCTCAGTCTACATCAGGAATTTTTCACAAACTAATTGTCTCATTCAGTTTAATTTAGAATTATTTTTAGTGTGTTGTGTATGTTTTAGTATGCACAGTCTGGGCTGTTAACTGTGCTCATTTCTCACCTGGAAGCCTCCATTCATAGACTCTCCAAACCAAACATGTTTCTTTCCACTGTTTCCACTGGTCCACCAGTTTTTCCTTGGTACAGTCCTGGGGTTAGCATTGAGGCAGGTCTCACCAGTTTCCATATTGCAGTAGACTTTAATAGCATCCATCTTGCAGCCTTGGTTAGGATCAACCCAGTACTCTCCTAGAGATAATGGAAAATGTTAAGGGGCTTAATATATTTGGAGAAGAAACTGACTGCATGATGACCTTATTTCTATGACAGATTTCTGAGCCAAATCAGGAAATTTACTAATTTTGACAGAAGAGATGCCACAGAAAATAAGATTATATAAAAAGATACTGAGTTAATATGAATCCTTTAAGGGAAATGAAATTTGGAATAAATTTATAGCTTGTAATGTTTTTCTTTTTCCCCTAAAATGGTTTAAACATATGTTCAATTTTAAAGACATGAGTGGAGTTGAAGTCAAATATATATTCTGTGTAAATGCATAGTTAATTATGTTTAAAATAGGTTTTACATTTATCATCTTTTTCATCACATTTGTTTGAAAAAAAGTAAAATTTTTTTGGAAGATTTCTGCATTTGAATTCTCAAGTTAGAAAAACCAGAAAACCAAAACAATGCCTAAGACCTGCTACCACTGGTGAAAATAAAATCTAAACATACCACTCTTGAGCTCGGGATGGCAGAATTTCAGGTCTCGGCAGTTGCGAGCTGGATTCTTCCGTGACCCATCGGGACTAATGATGTTTTCAATCTGGTTGTTAATGGATTTCATTGAAGAGATGATGTCACCCAGATTGATATCATTCTCCTTGGGCTCATCTCGGTACTCATACCCATAGGAAACTGGACCTTTCTCACCAGCACCCAGGGCAGCTGCACCACCACCACAACATGGGCCAGGAGGTCCAGCAGGACCAGGAAGACCAGGCTGCCCTGGTGGACCCTAAAAAAATAGTGAACAGGTTAAAACTAGAAGTCTGTGTGGGCCGTAGTCTTAAAAAAATGAAAATTCTTACACAAATATATAGTTTACTTATTCATTAATTAAACAGATGTATAAACATCTGTTTAATAGATTTTCCAGGCCTTTATTTTCTTAAAATTGTATTTTTTTCCCCTTCACTTTGTCAAGTTTGACCATCTTTATATGTGGGCTTTGAGAAGGAACCCTTTCCACTAAAATCCAGAGAATGACCATTTCTTGGCTTTAGCAGGTGACTGTGATAGTGACACTTTGCAGCTCTGGCCTCCCTAGAGCAGTCTAGGAACCCCATTCCATGGCTTCTCAGACCCAAAAGGAAACTGAGAGGAGGAGATTCCATTGTTTGCAGAAAAGACAGTGGTCAGCTGAGACCACCAAACTGCAAACGAGCTTCATGGCTTTGGATTTTGCCTTGGCAGCTAAATAACCTCCTGCCACAAATCTTGTCCATTAATTGAGAGTTCCTGAGAGAGCTATTTAGAGCTGAGCATCCTCTGTTTCATGAATGTTCCCAAAGATTTCCTGTGTGATTTTGCACCATTTACTTACGGCAGGGCCGCTTTCGCCTCTGGTACCGCGGGGGCCGGGAGGACCAATTGGACCTGGGTAGCCACTGGTTCCATCTTTTCCAGGTGGCCCAGCTGGGCCTGGGGGACCCTAGAACAATGAAGGACACAGAATAGTTTATCAGATAATTCAGAAATACATTGTGAGGTATTTCAAATATTTCTGTATGATTTCTCAGGTGTTTTTTCTTTCTTCAGCTGCTGTCTGTTAAGATGGCAAATTAAAATTTATGTCTGTATCTATGTCTCTATTAACTGAACAGGCTGAATTTTCCTTGCAGTTAGGCTGAGTAAGCAGTTTTTCTTACCCTTGCACCTGAAGCTCCTGGACCTCCAATTGCACCTTGTGGACCCAGGGGACCCTAAAAAAAAAGGGAAAAGTCAGTCATACACCTCCTAGTAATATCTTGCAACTACCAGCATGTGCCTTAAATAAAGACATTGAAAATGTCTTCAAGATTATACAAAACACACCCTTATAAAAAGGCTATGTCAGGCACGAGAGAATGGTGGTCATTCTTTAATCAGAAAAAAATATTGAATGTTCTCTTACATGTTTTTATATAGAAATGTGCTATCCAAAATGCAAGAAAGCCAACTGACACCAATGAGCTTTGGATGAACCCTAATATTAATAAAAATATGTAGCTATAGCCAAAGTGCTGCAGTTTTAATAATATTACCAGTAATGTTATTGAAATAATTTGATAAACATTCATGATTTCAAATACATTGACAGATTTGTTTTGCATGTGCAGTGCAAAGAACTAAGCCATTTGTTTAAAAGTTGTCTATCATCAAATGAGAATTTATCATTTTTTTTCCTCATGTGATATGTTAGACTGCAGGTTCTATTGCCTTATTGAATAAGTTGGTACTGGTGCTATCTTTGGTATGTTAATTGAGTGAGCTTTGGTTTCTTGATTCTCACTTGGATCATGGGGGCTATTCAAACTTTTCTTTAGAATAAATCCCTTCTTATATATTTCCTGGTCATAAAAATCAGTGGCATGCCTTTCTATTCTTGCCCTTCTATTCTCTTAGCTGTGTTCAAATGGTAATGCATGTTTTAGGGTAAGAAAGGGATAGAAAGAGTATGGAATTCAGTAGTTTACAATTTCCTGCCCATTTTGCCCCAGAATTACTTTCTATTAAAGACGCATGGCAGAAGAGATGTATTTGGACTCTGAGTAGCTTTAGTTGACTGTCTAGGATAGATTTCTAACAGACATAGGCATTCCAACCCCTATTTCTCTCTTTCCTAATTAAATCAGGAATAGCCTGATTTTATTATAAAAGAATATATAAGAAATTTTTATTGAAAGGGTTGTAGTAAACCCATATTTACTTCCTAACAGCTTCTTCCAGATCTATAATTATGCTTATGTCAGGCTGATTCAGGGAATCTGGATTGTGAAACATCTGACAATCAAATTTTCATGGATTCCCATCAAATTATCTAAGGTTAATTAGGTGCCTGGGGCCTAAACACAGAAGCTAAGATCAGCTGTGATTCCCAATCCAATGCAAAATACTCACAGGAGGACCAGGGAGACCAGGGGTACCAGGAAACCCTCTGTGACCCTTTATGCCATTGCTGCCTCGTTCACCAGGTTCACCTTTATCACCACGAGGACCTTGAGGACCCTGTCAGGGTAGATTTGAAATAAAAGGAAGATAGGAGGAGATAAGAGCATTGCCCATATAACAGGAAATAATGAATGGATAACATCACAAATACTTTAAATATGACTTACAGCAGGACCACGAGCACCAGCAGGACCAGTAGAGCCAGGAGGGCCAGGTGGACCCTGTGACATGGTAAGAATGAGAAGGTGTGGATCACTTGGAACTGCTTAGCCCATCTCTTTATTTCCAGATAAGCTCTATGTTCACAGCCAGCAGGTGTTGGGAAACAAGGGGAAGCTCCACACACACTAGAATCAGCAAGAATCCTGGCCCAGCCATTTTTGTACCAATGTCAGCCTTTCTCAGCTGCCTGTAGGCTCTGATCTGTACACAGGCACTACAGCCTTTCTTCCCTCTCTCAGTGAGGTGCTCACTGTGTTGGTGTCAGCACTCCTGAGAAATAACTTGAGGGCTTCCAAAGTTACTCCCTTAGTTTAAATAAATAACACATTGCTTGTGCTGCATGAGCACAAGATGGGATGGAAATTAGGACAGGGCCTGGTGGGATGATGTGCTTTTTGGCATCCTATTGAGTACATTAATTTTGGGCTTAATTTCTTCAAGTTGTCAGAACATAAACTCTGAGATTTCTTTCTTCTGGATATTCTTGTAGGATCAGTCCTTGATATCAAGAAACTCTGACAATAACAAACTCTTTAAAACTTCCTCTCTATTCCTGAATGAAATGGACTTTGGCTAGGAAGGGTATGTAAGTAAGCAGTAATCCATTTACTTTGGTCTTACCTGAAATCCTCTTTCACCAGATTTTCCAGGTGCACCAGCATTACCTGCAGGTCCAGGATGGCCAGGGGGTCCTGGAGGGCCAGGAGAGCCATTGTCACCACGGTCACCCTGCAGATAGTAAGGAGTAATAAACATCATGTTTTATAGAACTCAATACAAGGAGTATATTCAGTGGAGCACAGAAGGTTCAAGGAACAAATTACATAGCATATAGATTGCATATGTAGTTAATGTAGTTCATGTCTCATTTGGTGGGCAGTCTAAGGATACTGGGGATTTCTTACTTTGCCTCCAGGGGATCCATCACGTCCAGGCAAGCCATCAGATCCAGGGTTACCCTGAAAAACAGAGTGGCACAGTTTGTTCACAAACTGCATGACCAGTAGACAGCTTGTTTCCCAGTAAGCTTCAACAGTGCTCATCAAAGAAAGAGTTTTCAAGAGAAAAGAGTTCCTGGAGGTGGAGTGGCTCCTAAAAGACCTGTAAGACCTGCATTATTTTGTAGGCAGTGCAGTTCCAAGCGAGACAGATGATGTCTGCAGGCAGGGAATGGGATAGCAGGGACTGGAGGCCACATCTTACAGGAGGGCAGAATCTGCCCAGGCCCCTGCCTTGTGAATCTTAAAGCATATTTGTCCCCAGAAGCTCCCATTTGTAACTCACAAGGTGGCAAGGAAATCCCATCCACTCACATCTCTGCCAGGCTCTCCAGGTAAGCCTCTTTGTCCAATAGGACCTTGGGGACCCGGAGCACCGCGTTCTCCTGGGATACCATTGGTGCCTGGTTTGCCATCTTCACCCTGAACAAAAAGAGAAAGGATTCCATTGCAGATAATGTTTTTAGGAGATACTAGTGCATTTTGCATCTTATTAACTATGCAGGGATTTTGAAGGAGACCTAATGAAGGCCAATGTGGCTTTCCTGGTTGTGAATACACAAAACAAGAGGTAGAAACTTGGCCAAACTTGTTTCTTTTCATTGCTGGTAACATTCCTGCAAGGCCATTGAATGTTCCTCATTAACTGACAACTAAGAAATAATAAACAGATCTATCTCTTATGTGCCCCAAAACAGTGGCCAAAGCTGTTAACCAAAAAATGCTGGTCTATCCCTATATTAGTGATAAAATACAAACCAAGCCTCACTCTACCTTTTCTGAAGGGAGGTGAGGGTACTTTTCTATTTGAGTCATAATATTTAAGCAAGAAACATATTGAGAATTAAGCAAGGGTAAACAACTAGTGGTAGGTGAGACTATGACTTGGATCTTGTACCGAGCAGAGGTTACAGCTTCCTCCTCCTCATGACCCTCCCAAAGTGTGTGGAGTGGGTAATATACTCCTAGATAGATCATATATATAATATAATCTGAAAGACAACCTTGCATCCCACAGCAGCTAGATACCAGCCATTTAAAAGCCTGATCTTATGAATGTAAACAGAACTGTAAATTCTCTCATCTCTGGACTAGAAAGCATTCAACTCCCAACACCTCCAATACATTCTTTACTTTTTGTGTCTCTAAGCTACTTTTAGCACTTTTTGCCTCTCCAGGCTAATTTTAGCAGCAGGGTTGGGGTTGTGTTGGGTTGAGGCTGCAGGTGCAGTGGAGGGCTCTCACCTTGGCCCCTGCCATCCCAGGTGGGCCGCTGGGGCCACGCAGGCCCGGCAGACCCGTGTTCCCTCGGCCACCAACGATGCCTTGAGGACCTGGCTCACCTGGAGCCCCCTGTTTGAGAAAAGGTCACTGCAGTCAGTGGGAGCACCTTCAACATTCCATAGGTGGCTGCTTGTTCTGGACAGACTTAATCCCTGTCTCCTGGCTGAAGGGACACTTACCCTTTCTCCTCGGGCTCCTGGGGGCCCTTTTTCTCCTGGTGCGCCGGGCTCACCTCTGATTCCAGCAGGTCCTGGACCTCCAGGAGCACCAGAACTGCCAGGGGGTCCAGGAGGCCCATCCTTGCCTGCAGGGCCTGCGTTACCAGGGGGACCTGGGCTACCCTGTAAGGAGTTTTAAGAAGGAAAGCATGAGCTGCACACACGCACTGGCATTGGTCTCACGAAAGCCAGCCAGACCCGAGTCATTGCCTGAAGGCAGATTTGGGGTCCAGCCTCATGCACCCAAATCTGATCTGGTGTTGTAAGAGAATCCTTTCATGTAGCACTTTCACAGCTGGCATTTTTTATCCCTGCTGTCTGGACATACACCTGCACATTTTGGATGCCCAGTGCCTGTAATGCATCCTACACAGGGTACACATTCCTTACTCATGGCTCTACCACAGAAACTGGAAATAGGCCGCAGGCCCTTCTGCTTTCTTGAATCACTCCTGCCATATGCCTTTAATATGTTGTCTTGGACATGTGCAGAAAAAATGTCTTTCATTACAGTCTTAGCTGAGCCAATGAATGGAAAGAATTGCATTGACTCTAATGGTACCTTAATTAAAATCCCGCTTCTGTTCCATACCATAAGGAAGATAAGCTCTTTTGTGCAGATTTTTTTTCTGAAGTACAAATATCATGTTCAGAACGTTTTTGCATAATATATTAATATATGTCTGAATGTGTCCACAAAGTAAGACTAAAAGAAAAAGGGGATAAACCAACTTACATTGTTACCAGGGGGACCAGGTAGACCACGGGCACCAGGGAAACCAGCAGCACCCTAGAGGAGATCAATACTTTTAGTTGGTATTTTCTGAGAACTGGAAAAACAGGAAAAAATTGATTTTTACATACCTGCTGTGTTTAAATTATAATCATGTTTTGTTTGAAACCTGAATTAAATGTCCTGACACGGAACAAAAAGTCAATTTTTTTTTTTTTTTGCAAGAGAAGGTCACAGACTCTCCTCAAACTTGAGTTAATGGGATTTGAGATAGTTGGCAAAGATGGCAAGTAAATTTAATAACTGTTGAGATAAGCCATTGTAGAGCTTTGGGTCATTGTGTCAAAAGCTATTTTGGCACCTTATATTAAAATCGAGGTAATCCAGATCACTATAGACTTCTACTTTAATTACTCCTTCTAGAACACTTTAAATATTCTTGCACTGTAAATACTATAGTCATTGAAGTTCTTATTTTTCATTTAGGTCACATTTTTTGTAATAGATAGAGGCATTTAGCAGTGACTAAGTAGGAGAGATACTCACAGGCCCGCCAGGAGATCCACGGTCTCCTTTTATTCCTTGGGGACCAGGTGGACCCTATAAGGAAGGAAGTAGATAAAGCAAAGGATTTTATAAAGATTGAAATTATAGCAAGTGACAGTAAGTTTCAGGCAGTTCATTTCCTTGCACGTGGGCCCACTGAGGCTGAGGGAGGGCTGAAGAAACCTCTCCACAGCTACAAGGAACAGCAAACACTTACTGGGGCACCAGGGCCGCCCTGTGGACCAGCTGCTCCGGGGGGTCCGGCCTCTCCTCTCAGACCAGGGGGACCTCTTTCTCCTTTGCCACCAGGCTCTCCATTTTGGCCCTGTAGAAAAATTATAGTGTTATATTACCACTAAAAAAGCAGATGATACTGTGACAAGAAATGCTGTCCAGGTACTCATCTGAAGGGAATTTAACTATTAAATTGTGTGAATGCAGTTGAACTCTACTGCCCTACCAGTGCAGGAGGGGAAGGACAAAGCCATATAGTCCTATGTGTGCCTGAGTAGTGCAGGAAGAGCAGTGCAGACACTTACTGGGGCTCCAGGAAAGCCAGCAGGCCCAGGAAGACCTTGTTCTCCTCGTTCACCCTGTAGAAAACCACATGTCAGCAATGGAAGATGTTAGAAAGATAAACTTCACTTTAAACGTTAGAGAATGCTACTGTTTAGGCTACTGAAGTTTCTTTGTCTTACCAGCCTTTGGAGAAAAACCCCACACATCTGATCCAAAACAACTTTTGCTCCAAAGAACTAAACAGAGCTGTTCAGGAATTAACTGATAAATGTCTAAAATGAGGTAAACTTAACTCAGCTACACCTGTATGAGCCCTGACTGTTCAACTGAGATCCCAGAGTGTTAAATATAAAAAAATAAACACAAAAAAGAGTATTTCTGAAAGCTTACATAACTTTAAATCAAGATGGACATGACTGTTTCTCACACTCCTGCCTTGCCCTGTCACCACAGCCTTCTGATCCCTTTGCAATGTTAAAAGCCCTGATTTTCTGAAGCCTTTGGTACTTATAAATCCCAAGAGTCAACAGGAGCTGAATGTGCTTGGCTTATTTACAACCCAAGCCAAAAGTATTGCTGATAGTTTTGGTGCAGCACTGATATCCACAGCAGGCAAGAGGAGGCATGGTGAGGTTATACAGGAAGAAAAGAAAGGTTTTGTCACTTACAGGACCTCCACGGGAACCCATTGGGCCAGGGGCCCCTGCTGGGCCAGTCTCTCCCTGCAGGGAACAAGGATGGTCATGGGGTGTTTGTCTTCTTCCCTGAGACGGCCACCCCTGGGACTCCTTACAGTCCAAACCCCTTTGTGAGCATGCTTTACCTTATCTCCAGGTGGGCCAGCAGGACCAGGAGGGCCAATGGGACCTACATTGCCCTAAACAATTGGAAAATGGGAAAATTATGTATTTTGTATCAAAATATGACAGTGTTAACTCTTCTGTTTTGATCAATAGTGTTTGTGTTTCAGCACAAACAGGTTGCCAAAGACACTTAAATGAAGCAAGTTACAGTGCCAAAGTGCATTTGCACACCACGTTTTGGAGTGATGCTCTGAAATCACACCACTTTGCAGTGTGAGAGATCTCCAACTGAGTGATTTCTTTCTTTCCCCCACCATCCAAACCTAATCCAAAACCACCTGAAATTACTAGGTCCCTTTCACTGGTCTACAATAAAAGTGACCTATTGCCCTAATTTTCAGTTAGATAGTTGATGCACATTTCTTCAGCATCTCCTGGCTAGCTCCCTGACTTATTTCTTTCTTGAAAATTTAATCTGTACCTTATGGTCAGAAATAAATTTTTTATATTTCCTCCAACTCAACCAAGCTGCATTTGTACATATGTCATCCCTCATTACTTTCATGTATATACTGCCTGCAGGTGGTGATTTGATAGATGTATATATTTCAAGTGCCTATTTTACGTGTATTTGCTATATAGATGTATACATATATCATATTTAGTAACCTGTAGGAATATTCTGTATGAGAATATTTACTACCGATGTCTTTTTGTGATTCATTATAACATCAGTCTAGATTTTATCTTTCCCTCTAAAACATGATTTCTTTCCCTCTAAAACATTGTCCCAGTCAACTACAATCTTTCTCCAAAAAATTCCATTACATTTACGCAAGGAGAGGTAATCACACAAACCAGTATTAGGGCTAATTTAGTTTACAAACCCAGTTTTGCACTGCTGGAGTGAAGCACAATGAGATAACAACTGTAGCTGTCCTAGACAGCATTATTCAGTGTGAGGCTACTCCTGTTCTAAGAGCTGGCTGTGTAAAGCTGATGGATAAACTGTTGAATGTTTAAATACTCACTCTCTCTCCTCTTGCACCAGGAAGGCCGTCAGCACCTTTACCACCAGGTTCTCCCTAGGAATTTTAAGACATAAAAACCATGAGCAAAAAGGAAGCATGAGGAGGTGAACCTGAACTGGGGGGAAGGATCTCATACTGAGGGTCTCTCAGTAGCCAGGTTTCCTTAATGAAACTGGGGTTGATATTTTGCCCAGTATTCAGCATCAGATACTGCATCCTTTGATGAGGAAAAAAACCCAAATTGATTCAAAATCAAGCCAGGCCAAATTGTCTTTCCATGGTATGAACTATTCTCATCATTAATTAGATTCATTAGAACTGTTTTGATGTACCCATCCCCCAAGACACCCAGTGCAGCAAAGTATCTAGCATGGATTAAACTGAGGGAGAAATCCCATATTTTTTAATATCTAGAACCCACATCCCATTGCTAAATCAGTAGTGCTGCTACAGAGTCTGCACCTCTGAAATCAGGCCAAAGTGAAGACATGGACAAACCCAGTGCCTTGCGGGACACTAACATTAAATCAGCATAAAATCAAAAATGTGTGTGTGTGTTACCCTCTCCCCTTTTGGTCCAGGGCTTCCAGAAGCTCCTCTTTCTCCTGGCATTCCCTGTAAGCCAGGCAGTCCTGTGCCTCCAGGGGGACCAGGTGGGCCAGGAGGACCCTAAGGAATAACAAAAAATAATTAGAAAAAAAAAATTAACCCAAATGGTACCAGAATAGCAGAAAAGGAAACATTCTGTGAGTACCTTGGCACCTTCTGTGCCAGCAGGACCTGGTCCACCTCTTGTTCCAGGAGGTCCTGGAGGACCTTGTGCACCACGTTCTCCTGGGATACCATTTTCACCCTGTGATAAAAAAATGAGTTATTCTTTGTTCTCAGGCTCATATTTTGTTAATTAATTTATGTCATTACAAAATTTGCTTTATTATTTACCTTAGGGCCTGGGAATCCAGGTCCTCCAATATCACCCTTTGGCCCCTGGTTATGAGAAAATAAATGTAAGTTAGCCATGAAATTTACTTAGTACATCTGCACTGTGGTTGGCACTATGTTGGCACTCCTCTATTATTCCCCCAAATCAGACTTTGCTGCTCTGAGGGGAGCTGAGAGCTGTCTGAATTTAAAACCATAGTTTAGCAAGAACTTTTCATTAACTTTTATTACTTAAAAAAAAAAAAAGGAATTTACTACTTACTGGTTCTCCAGGCTTTCCGTTCTCTCCAGCTGGTCCTGGTCCACCAGGCAATCCCTATATGAAAGAACAGCATTACCCATGGTACACAGATAAGTTATGCCTTTTCCATCTTCAGATTTTTGCTTTTAATACAAAGAAGTGTGGCCAACTCATTCCTTGTAACTTTTGTAAAGTGGTTGATCTGTTATATTCTATTATATTCAAAATATGTTGATATCTGGCACTCCAACACAAATGTTCAGATGCCTATATATATATTTAATTTTATGTGTGTTACTCTATTAAAAAGAATCAGAAAACAATGAACACACAGTACCTGGAGGCCAGGTGGGCCTGCTGGTCCTGGTTCTCCTCTCTCTCCAGAAGCACCCTAGAATCAAACAAATGAGGAAGAAAATCCACGAACTTGCCTGAGAACACTTTAATATATAAAAACCTCCTCACCACCACAATCTACACCTCATGATGACATTGCACGAGCTCAAAAACCAATGCATGTTGGTGTTGTGGTATTAGCTTTTTTCACTCCAACTCTTAGATGTGATTCAGCAGACACATTTTAATTTGACAGGAGTTTGAAATGCCATAAACATAAAAGGGAGTAACAATACATTTCTGCTAGAAAAGACCAAGAGCTCTAAATTGACTTTTCATTTCAATCTATACCAAGTATACCTGACTCAAGCTTCTCCCACCAAAGTTTTGAATATTCGTTCATTAAAACAATGGCAAAGAAGAGCTCTTTTATTTGTCTTCATAAAGGAGATTTATTTATATCATTAAAAATATTTTCCTTCTGCTAAATTCCCAGTTTCTATCTGTAGCTGCCAGACCCCCAGTCATTGCCTCAGATGTGCCCACCACACTTACAGTAGGTCCTGGAGGACCTGGAAGGCCAACATCACCATTCTTCCCAGCAAGACCCTATTCAAAGACAAAATTAGGCTATGGTTAGAAAGTGATACCACTTTTGTAAGACTCATCAAGTTATTATTAATACTGTGTCATTATTAAACAAAATATTAGCAAAACTTACAGGTGGTCCAGGGGGTCCACCAGGGCCTCTTTCTCCATTCTTGCCTGGTGCACCCTTACAAAAAAGAAAGACTACATTTGAAATACTTGTTTCTGGTCAGTGGACAATTGTCTAAAGCAGCAGAATGAGATAGCCCACTGTGGAGCGATTTAGTTTAGCATTTGACTCACCAAGCATCAGCACAGAAGAGGAGAAATCCCACTCACCTCATTGCCCTTAGGACCAGGGAAACCCATCACACCAGGCTGGCCACGGGGGCCTGGAGGGCCAGGTGGGCCAGAGCGTCCAGATTCACCCTGATTGCCCTGGAATAAGCAAAAAGAAAGGAAGATGTGGCATCTGTGAGGTGAAATAAAGCAATTCCCTGGACTCATTCAACATTGAGTGAAGGGGAGACACTGTTCAAAACTCATTATATGTTTTGTACTGCAACTGTGGCCCATCTACTCTGTATTTTACACAGCACCAAATGACAGAGTTTGCAGGCTGCTCTTATAATGATGCAGCATAAAAAGGGCTCTGGTAGTTAAAGCAAACAGAGAGGAGGGAATAAATCTGGCTGTGATAACAACCTGCCATGTGGGTGCTGTGGGATTAGGGTAGAGTTGGGTCAGCAGGAGGACTGGGATAAAATATTTGCACAATGTACGTACGGGAGGGCCAGGCTTCCCATCGCTTCCAGGGCTTCCTGGAATTCCGGGCAAGCCCTACAAATTGAAGGAAAATAAAGAGTGTTATACTTCAGTTTAAAGTGCACATTATGAAGTCTCAATTCAATATTGAAGCTATTGCTTGTTATCATCCTCTTTAATAAAGATCTTCCCATTTCCCTCAGCCCATGAAGGGTGAAAATTGGAGAAAGCAAACAAATTCTGCCATTATGGGTTTATTGTTTTTTTTCTGAGACTTGTATATAAGCAAGACACCAGACATTAATCAACTAACACAAGAACATTTTTTTCATTATGTTGGAAGAAAACCATATTTAGATGGAAAAAAAAGAAACAATTCTGACTACACACCTCTACCTGAAAGCAACACAATGTGCAACACTTTTTAATTAACTTGTTTAAATTTCTAAATATTATTTTTGTTGTATTTTAAATAGTTCATTTTCCTTGCCAATAAAATCTTGTTTAGCTCCTAGAGGCCTGTAGATGGGCTTGTGAATGTCAATCTATTTGTTGTTAGGAGTTGTTAAATATTAGTACAGCTTGTAGAATGTTGTTCCATGTACACTTGGATGTTGTCTACACAATAGGCCACCTCTGAAATCTTACTGATATGTACTGTAAAAAACTGACCAACAGCTTATTTGCTCTAATTACAAATAAGCAAAAAATATAATACTCATGTATATTGAAATACTTAAATTAATTTTTAAATTAATTATTTAAGTCTATTTACATAATAGCTGAAATATAAACATATTTAAATAAAACCCTCAAGTACCTAATGTTAGAATTTGCTGAAATGTAAAGCGCTAAGGCAGAAAATCATCCAATGCTGACTCATATTAGAGGCATTTCTCATGGCAGGGTCTGGCATGCTCTGGGAGCCTCCCAAAGCCTCCTGACTCCATCGTGGCAGTGTCCTGGGAATACCCAGTGACTCTGCTCCATTAGCTGTCCCACCATGTATGGATGCTACTACTGCCTAAAGGAACCCATAGAAAGGATTTCTGGTTGGACTCCTCTACCACATCAGCTCAGATGAGCTATCTCTAACAGAGTTTATCCCATTTCCTCAGAGATGTCCTGTCTTACTCTCATTCCAGGAAGACCTGGGCCTCCATCTTGTCCACGCTCTCCTGCAGGTCCACTGGGGCCAGGGGGGCCTGGGCTGCCACGCTCGCCTGCGGGACCCTGGAAAGAGATGTGGAGATCCACAGCAAGGGAATCAGCATTGAATCTGAAATTGTCCATCCAAATTCACATGGATTCTCCAAAAGTTTGGAGGACTCCTTTGGAGGAAGATTTATACCTTTTCACCTGGAAGTCCATTGCTACCGGGTAAGCCACGGAAGCCAGGGGAGCCCTGCCAGATAAAAAACAAATTATGGATCACAGGCAGTATGACACAGGTGATAGCAACTGGGTTGTCTTCTAAACTATTTATCATTAGACTTAGCATTATGAAAATTAATGGGAAAAAAAGAGATGAAAGTGGCATTTCAGTGTAGTAAGAAGGGCTGCAGACTATTTTGTCTTTGATTGTAGTGTTCCTGTTGAAATTATAGCCTGTCCTCTATTTTTAGCTGGCCCTGCATCATTATTTATGTGTTTTCTAAAGTACTATAAAAAAGAAAAATCACATTCAGTATTGACAATTATTTTCCTCTAATTCAGTACTGAGAAGAACTCTGTTGTATTGTTTTAATATTTATATTTGCTACTATCTTTATAAAAGAAATTTGAATTATAAATTTAAATGTTTAGTATGATTAATTAGTTCATTATCCCTCTTTCATTTTCTCATAACTTCAGCAAATATTGCAAGCAATTATCAAGTTAGCACTTACAAATAGATCAGCACAGTTTCCTTTGTTTCTGATGGGAACAGAAATCTAAAATTTGTAATGATGTCGCTATTTATTTTGATTAAAACAATTAGTGGATTTCTCTGAGAGAATTATTAAATTTTTGGAAAATTATTTAATATAGTAGCCAATAAACCTGTTTGCAGTTGAAATATTATAACATAGACAACATCCTGACAATACTGTTGTTACTGATATTGAAGATGTATTAGCAATAGAGATGTTGACATAAAGACATATCTTGAATGCAGAAGAATTTACATTAATTTCACTTTCAGAACTGAAGTTCTTTTGATTGTTTATTTTTGTTAACTGAGAAGTAATTTTGATATTTTGATTATTCATTTCCCTTGTAGTTCTCATAGTTTATGATTGCTTCTCAGCAAAAATCTTTTGGTAAAACTTCCGGATATATAAGATCACTGCTTCTTCTATATCAAAAACTGAAAGAAATTATTTTTTTTCCAACTGAGATAGATCCAAGAGCTGCAATTCAGAGGAGAAAGTAGATAAGAATTCTCCCCTGTTTTGTAACCCTGTTTCCCCATCTGGAATTTGCTGAGAAGATACATGTAGCCAAATTTCTCCTGGAAGTGTTTTGAACTTCAGAATTTTCTGTCTCTGTCTTGGCTCAAAAGGTCGTGTACCACAGCTCACCCTTTCTCCAGGGGTTCCAGGTACTCCGTTCTGCCCAGGTTCTCCATTTGCGCCTCTCTTCCCTTCCTCACCAGGAGGCCCAGGAGCACCTGGGGTGCCGTTTTCACCCTGGCAACAACAAGAACCAAGCCAATCAGTGAGTTAGAAGTCTCCAAAAAACCAAACAGATTTTGTATGGGGAGAGATTCAGGGTTCAGGCTTGCTTGAAAGAAGTCTCTGGACACATTTTGAAATCACTTACGCGCTCGCCTTTTGGGCCTGGATCTCCTTTTGCACCATCCTTACCAGGGTCTCCCTAAAAAGTAGAAAATGCCATTATAATTATGGGTTTCAGCTGGGCATCACTCTGGAGCTACTAGACACACTGAAATACTAGGAAGTAGACATTATATTTCAAATTATTGACTCCTTTTTTTTATTTATAATTCTGCAACGGAATCAGCATGCGCTGTCTGAACCTGTAAGTGGAAGCCATGGGACTCCTTAAAAATGCAGTAAAGGAAAGAAGCAATACATTCTTAAACACCATTGAGTAAAATTTTATGTCTGTTCCTGAGCTATTTCAGACATCATTGAGTCTTTTGTTGAAAGTCCCTGACAAAGAGCTACATGTGGTGTAAGGCTGTAAGAAAAGGGCCTGCTGGGGTAAGTGACAATGAAAGACCAGATACAACTCATGGTGTTTAGTGGACTGTGGACTCAGCCCTTGGGAATTAAAACAGGTGAAAATAAGACTGTAAAACCATTTTTTTTTTTTGATGTAGCCGATTTACACAAGCAGTGTCTTTGTTGTATCTGAATTGGTAGATAATTTAGGAAATCAGTTAGGTATTATCACCATATTTACGTATAATCTTTATATACAACAACACCTATATGTATGAAACAAAATATGTTATATATTTATAAAAATAATTTCCTATTTTCATAATAAAATAATTTATTAGACTATTTCAAGTAAATAGGAGAAGATCAATGGTTTTTTTTTTAATGGTATCAGGCTTACTTCCACCATATTTGTTGGTACAAGCAGTGTAAATGCCATCAGTAACTCACCGGACTGCCTTTTGCCCCAGGGTTTCCACTTGCACCTGGAGGACCTGGAAGACCACGGCCTCCTGGCAAACCAGGAGCACCAGGAATACCAGAAGGTCCCTGCAGAGAGACAACAACAGACAGAGATGAGGAGAGAGTGCCATTGGTGGACTCTACCCAGTCCAAACAGTGGCCCTCACCAACAGAGTGCAGCAATGGCAGAGATGTGGAAAGTACCCACCATTTCACCCTTGTTGCCAGGGCTTCCAGCTCTTCCAGGAGGGCCCTGGAAAAATAAATTTAACAGAGTAACCAATGCTGCTAACCCAGGACCAGAACAAAGGGCTCTGTGAAGAGCAGGTGACAGCACCTCTTAGGTCCCAAGTTCTATTGATGTACCTGAGGCCCAGGTGGCCCAGCATTTCCCTGAGGACCAGGTTCTCCCCTCTCTCCAGGACTACCACTAACACCAGCAGGACCAGGAGGACCAGCTTCACCCTATAGAAAAAAAAAAACCCAGTAAAATGAGAAAATGAAGGCATTTTATTCATCCCCAGGGCAATCAGCATTAAATTAATGGTTTCTACCACTTGGTGGTGTTTTGTTGTGGGCATTCACGAAGGTGATGAGGATTGGGTTTGTCTCATGCTGCATATAGCACATCTGTTCTAGGTTTGCAAACGGTGTAATAGCAGCCAGGAAAAGGAGGGCTCATAAAATAATGATGTACAGTGACATCAGCTGTGTAACTAGAGAAAGGACCAAATCCCATGTAGTTATGGGTCTTTAGTTGAATACCTTAAAACCTGGAGAGCCTGGAAATCCTGCAGTTCCAGGAGGACCTGGGGGACCCTTAAAAGTGAAAGAAATACTATTAATGCAAAAGGTAAAAGCCATATGGAATTAATCTTAAGTTAAAAAAGGGAGTCTGATTATGAGATTTTTCTCTGAGTAAGGAAACACCTGGAAACTAGCAAATATAAATCATGATTTGGCTAGTCCTAAAATATCACACCTACATCTTAGTTACCCTGACTTTTACATGTTCAGCTGAATTTCTGTGTTTTAAATTTAAAAACATGAAATCTATCATTAGGGAGATTAAGTTAGAAAACCTTTCAGAATTTGTTCTAATTATAAAAAAAGAAGGAGAAAAAGCCAATGCAGCTGTTACACACCCAAGTGGACATGCTCAGGTTTCTAGGTAGATGGAAAAGAAAAATATTTGCCGACTCCAGACAGCAGAATAATTTATTTGATAAGATCATTCAAAATTTGATCTTCATGTAGTGCAGCAATTCCATCCATCTATATGTTCTCTGAGAATAATCTGGGTTTGGATTTTTGCATTTCCTGATTTACAGTGTTAAAGCTCTCCTATTGCCCTTTGTCCTTTAAGCACATTAACCAACACAATGGAATATACACAACTGAAACACAAATAAATATAATGCTCATTCTTGAACAAGTGCACCCCAATTTTGGGTTTGCTAGCACTGCAGAACATCTGCTAGAGGTAATTGGACTAAAGCAACACAAATACTGAAAGTCAAAGTTGCCTTACAGGTGGGCCTGCAGCTCCTGGAGATCCGTCTTTGCCATGGGCACCCTACAGAAAGAAGAGAGGTGGTGGGTACAGAGCACTACCCTGGACACAGAACCCACATCCTTTCATGTCCGTGACTCAGGGACCATATTTTTATGTCTGTTCTTTCCCACTTAGTTGACCAAAACCTAAGGATTCCTTAAATGAGAAATTCCAAAGTAATAATTAACTAAATATTTTGTGAAGGAATATCCAACACTTCACATGACTTGCACTGTGACAGGAAGATGTAAAAATACATTCGTATTAAACTTAAAGAAATAACAGCTACATTCACATTGTCTATGTGAATAACTAAGATTGCAATAGATGTGTACTTCAAAGTAACAGTTACTTCTGATTCACATAAAAGACTAAATTTCACTCCAAAAACCTGATGAACACGGATGACTTAAACCCTGTTGCCTGTCTTGTACCCATATTAGACCAGACCCTCTGCTCAGGTTATGGGGAGTCTGCACAAGGGGTGGCTGTAAACTGCTTTGTGGATTGTGCTGAATGCTATGAAATAAGAGTTCCTTCAGAGCGAGGGATGTACCCTCTAACCTGTCAAAGGGGAATTTTATAGTTTCCCACAAGTTACTTCTGAGATTGCATTTTTTCCCTCTCTCTACTGTCCCCCGCCATTCTCTGCTTCCACTCCTCCCCCCTGCTTCTCTTTGCCAAACCTGAGCTTATGCTCAAACACTGAACTCTTCCTCAATGTATAATCTATTAATTTCAAAAAGCAAAACAGGAAATAAGGTAGCGAACGTGTTGTGGGTTAGAAGCGTTACATCTTTAATTGGGGACTGAAAAGTTCTCATGTGAGATTTTTTCATGCTATATAGTTTTTTACTCCTTTACATTACAACTGCTTTAAGGAAGTAGGGAATTCTCAACATATTGAATCCAAATATGTGCTGCCTCTGGATAAGAGCAATGTCTGCAATTACTTACAGGGCCACCGGGATTCCCAGGTCTTCCTCTTTCTCCAGCTGGACCTCTTGGTCCCTAGAAAACATAGTAAAAATGAGGCTGTTAAATGGCCTCTAAAATCAGATGGCTGAGCAAATAGACATTGCTCTTATTTCTGTAACTCACTGTAGTCCACTGCATGTGGTAGAGTAATTAAAGTTAAAAGGATGAGGAACAACTCAGCTAACATTTAAACACTCCAGGATGCACATATTTACCGGTTGGCCTGGTGCTCCATTTACTCCAGGAAGACCAGTTTCACCCTGTTACAGAGAGAAAAGAAAATGAACTTTGGTGAGAACATTTTTTGGTTTATTCAAGGGGAAGAGACACAGAAAAAAGCCGAATTTGTTATCCCTTTCTATGGGGTGCTGTGTGTCCTCAGCATGAACTGAGTTCTGAGAAGTGTAAACAAGTGTCAAATCAAAAATTAAACAGGAAATAAAAATCAGAAAGACTCAGCTTTCAAAATAATATGCAGGAAAGTCAGATGACCAAGACTTGTCCCTTCATTTTGGTATCTCGTTTATTATGGCTGGAAAATCGGGACATGGTGTGGTTCTGAATGTCTAACTCCTTTGGAATGATTTGTATTCTTTTCATGGAGGTATTAAATGGGTTTCTTTCATGCTTATTGTATTTTTATAATTGTTTAGGATGCAAAGCACAGCTATACAACAAATAATGGGGTCATTACTCTACCTACTTAGAAAGATGACACTAGATTTTTACCTTTGGACCAGGAGCGCCACTGTCACCTTTGGCACCATCTTTTCCATCAAAACCCTGTGGGAAAGTAAAACCATATCTGTGAATTGTATTCCTCCTGCATTCTGGAAAACTTGATTCCTCTTGGCAAAATATTTAAGCCCCCAAAAGGGGCATATTTTCAGTAATGAGTGCTATCAACTGTTGGAACACTTTTCAGCATTAGGGATGGAGCTCTACAACTGAGGTAACCAGAAAAAAATTGAATATTTGTTATGGAAGTTCAGATGACATTGTGCAGAAATTAACTTTAATTCTGTGATTCAGTCTTGGAAGTGATGACTGAAAGATCACAACTGTGCAACACCATCATTCAAGGAGAGTAACAGAGTGAGCTATGATCAATATACTCAATACTTACTCGTTGGCCTTTCATCCCAGGCATCCCAGGCATTCCAGGGTGTCCTTTGTGACCCTAAACACATAAATATAGAAAGATTAATAAATAATGTACTTATTGTATGAAGGGCACAAGCCAACTTTCATTATGTGTCATATTCACTTGACTAACTTTATATGGGAAAACAAAACCCATGATTAGAAGACAATTGTTACTGGGAGATTTTCCATACCGGTAATCCAGGGATTCCACGATCTCCATTCCTGCCTGGTCTTCCTGGTTCCCCCTGTTGAAAGAAAATAATTTTTTTAGTGTTTTGTTATTGCTTGACTTCCTGGCAAAGCACCAGTTGAGGAAGAACAAGGAGAGTTGGAGTAAGCAGGTGAAACTTCCACCAAAGACAGTGGTGGTCATGCAAATCCTCTCAGGGTGACAGTTCACTCTGTCACTGCCCTCTGGAAAACAACTGCCAGAATTTATAAACTCAGCTTTTAACAAGATTCTAGTTAATTTCTAAGCTACTTCAAGACAACCTTTACAGGAGATGATTCCAGAAAACTTATTTTTCTTGTTCTCTGTTGTCTTGCAACTTAATGAACTTTTTTCTTCCTATTTATTAATAATGGGATGAATAATAGTAAACTTACATCTTTTCCTGGTGGACCAACTGGGCCTATCATTCCAACAGGGCCTGGAGGTCCCTGTAGAAAAGTAATTAATATTAACCACAATAATAACAAATATTAAGTCTTCTTCAAGCTAAAAATGCATTAGGCATCACAAATACTTGTACATTTGACATGCATCATAGTAAACAACTAGGATAAACTGCAGAATTTCCACATACTGCATTGGTGACACAGATTCATGTCTTTAACATGCACAGAGATACTGAATGGGTACATACGGGAGGGCCAGGTTGTCCTGGTTCTCCAGGGGAGCCCTGGTATCCAGCAGAGCCCTGGAATGCAGCAAAAAACTCAGTCAAGATGTGAACTGCTACATGCACCATTCCACGGTGCAGTTATATTTTATATAATTATATATTCTATATAATTTCCCATAATTGTAAGGAAAACTGTAGTCAGATCAGTCAACAGATGACCAAAGGTGAAATTACCAGAAATAGGTGGAACATGCCTCCATGAAAACAGAACTAATCTGCTCCTCTAAAAGGAGATGGATGTTGAAAAACTTAGACCCTTGGTGTGTTCACTGAATGTGTATCCACCTTCCTTTACCCCCTGTTAATATTTTGCATGTATAGACATTTGGGAATGTCAGGCAGAGGCATGTCTTCAAATAATGTTAACATCCCATGGACTTGGAGAGATCTCAAGGGGTACACGAGGATTTAAGTGAGCACAGTATAGTGACCTCAGCTCTTGAGTCTTGGTGATGGTACAGCCCAAAATGACATTTATGCATAAAATTCTTCATGAATAGTATCCAGATTTATCAGTTGAAAAGGTGCTTGATGTTTATGACAGAGAAAAGGAGGAGCTCATGTAAAAGAATACAAGATGATTACGAGAAGATTAATGTTACTTACAGGGGGACCTGCATGTCCAGGTGGGCCAGGGGGGCCACTGGGGCCAGGGGGTCCTGGAAAGCCACTCTACAGCACAGATTAAAAAACAGTAGTTACATTAATGCAATATAGCTATGGTACTTAATATAGTTGCAATAGCCATCAATAACTGTGAAATAAAGTTTTACATAATTCAGAGAAACATTTTCAGAGCTGCAGCTTTTATTTTTGAGACACCACTGCACTTCTCTAGACCCCAGAGGGATGCTCAGAACTCTGCTTTTCAGCTGCCTGAAGGGGAAGAATGGAAAATAAAACTGAATTTCTGTTAGACAGAGAAAATGAGTGTCAGCTTCTCTGCCATGTAACTGAGCTTAATTAGCCAACACTAGAGACTCATTGTGACCTAGGGATACACTGAATTAAGGCCATACTTTTGTTGTAGTCAGTAAGGCAAACATTTCCATCAGTGAAATATTTTCTGAGCTTTAACAGTACGAAGCCATAAGAAAGAAATGAGGTCTGAACTAATCAAAGCTCAGTATTTCTGCTTCTTGTAGCAACAACCACAGAAGCATTTGATACTGCAAAACAGAAAACATTTATAAGTTAGCACAGTGGTCTACTGCAGCTATAGGGCGTTCTTTAAAAGAAAGCTTTTATTAAATTAAACTCTTCATGTGTTTCCTACAGCCAAAAGAATCACATATATGGATGATATGAGGATCACTGTGTGCTTCAGTACTGGCAGAATATTCCATGGTTAATATTGCACGGAATGTATTTCACAGGATTTTGACATATGGTGTCAGAAAAGGTCATGTATTACAATTTCATGAACCTAATTTTCATAATACAAGATTATCAGTATTGCTGTACTATACTGGCATATGTAAGACAGTACCTTACTATACTACAAAAATAAGTAATATTAGTTCACAGTTGTCTTTTGTCTAAAAAAGTGTGCCATGTTAATATTTGCTATTTTCTAGGAGAGAAGTACATCAAGAGGCAGAGTTGTGAGGGTTTGGGAAATGTAGCTCCCTTTGATGTGAATACAATGAGCAGTCCCTGTTAATTGTTAGAACTCATTTGGTATAAAGTAGCTATAGATCCAACCAGAATTAAAGCCATCAACTCATAAACAGCAATCAATCAATTAGACATATGGCTATAAACAAATGAGATAAAATCTTTTTCAAGTTACACACTGAGGAGATAAACTGATAGTTAGGGGTGTGCTTGCTGCTAGAATTTCCAGACTTTGAACAGATGAGCATCCTCCACTTAGAGAATGTGCACTGGTGGAAAGATACAAAGAAAATATGTGGAAGTTACATGGGCAAGTGAAGAGAAACTGTGATGTAAAACACAAAGCCAGTCTACAAGTGGTGTAAAGCCATGGGAATGAATACAACAATGGACAGATGTGTGACTGAGGAAATACCAGGCATGGTAACCACACATAGCCAATGTTGCTACTACATATTATTGTTTAGGTAATATTCCAAATTATTTTGGAATAAATTATTATTTATTCCAAAATTATTTCAGTTATTCCAAATTATTTCAAAATTGGTGCTATACTATGATGTTGCTACTATATTTTATTGTTTTGCTAGTATTCCAAATGATTTCATTTTGGATATTTATTCTTTAGGAGTATTTAAATTAAAATTGATAAATTCATAAAATAATAAAGAAATTAGTCTATGTAATGAAAATGATAAACGTTATTTAGCGCACTAGTGATTTCAGCCACCTCTGCCTGTAACTGCTGGTACTTGCTTTGAGGTCATGTATGCTATGATACAATATAAAAGCCTTTATGACCTGAAAATATACAGACAGCCCTGAAGATGTTTTAGGGTGCTCAATAAAGTAGTTTGGTTGTTTTTTTTTAACCCAAGTCCAGGAGTCAGAACACAAGAAATCACTAATCACTTCCAGGGAAAAAGCCAAAATAGAGAGGAGTTAACCACAGTTGTAAACTGAAGGTGCCTCTGTTATCTGCCTGGTTCAGCACATCCCATATTAAGGCACCAAGTAGCAGAATGTAGATGGCATGACAGCTGTGGGTGAAAACTGTGAGGAGTGAATATGAATAAATGAATAAACAAGGACAAAAATGGGTGGTTGAAGAAAAATGCATGGATGATCATATTAGCAAATGAAGGAGGTAGAAATAGATTAAAATAAAGGTGAGAAAATAATGACTGTGTTTCAGGAAAAAGAGCTGTTGAGATTAGTAAACCTAATTTCACAAGATGATCGAATGGAATTCCTCTCCTCTTCTCCCTCCATTTCCTTGGAACTGCCTTACAATGCTGCAACATGTGATACCCAAACCATGTTGTGCAGAATTGGGCTGAAAATAGTGATTATGCCTAATGAAGCACAGCCAATTTCCAGCAGCAGCAATTCACCACACCCTCTCTGTAGCAGATTGCCTGAATCAAGAACACTTCATGTTATCTCTAAATCCCAATGCCTAAAATGAGAATAACCAGTTGCAACATTCAGATTTATATTACACATGAAACATAGTTCAGGTACAACTCTTTGAGGCAGTCCATGCTTTTTCTCACTTAAAAACCTGAAAATCTTGGACCAGGTCTAGCAGGCAGATACAGCATCCTTAGTACACAGTCTGAGTAGCTGTGGGTAAAAAATGGTAATTGTAAAAAGAAAAAGTGAAAATATTTTGAGTTTTGGAATGAACAAAGTTTATAAGAAGGGTTTACTCACTTGTTATCAGGCAAGTTTGAATTGTGGAAAAGTTAGCATGTGGAATATCATACTCAGTAAAGACAAATTATACTGAGTGGGTGAAGGAAGATTAAAGGCAGTGGAAGAGGTAAAAATTTTTGGAAGGAAAGAAAGAAATTAGTGGAAGAATATCAAGTAGATAAACAAGGAATGTACATGAGACAGAAAAGGAGAAATATTTAGGTAGTGTAAGAAGGTGAATCACAGAAAGATATCAGAAAAAGGAAGGTAAGAAACTGAAGAAAGAAAGTGGAAAATAAAAAGTCCAGATCATCTATAACTACTTTCTAGAACAGGGTTGTTGAACAAACTGGTGCCTTACATCACATTCAACTTGCAGGCAATAATTAAATGAAAACTTATATTGTTAGATTAAAATCAGGATACATACACATCCAAGGTATAATCTATGAGCAGAAAATGTGTTCTTTAAAAAGAAGAAAGGACAGAAAAAAAGCTTTATCATCTTACAATGGGTTGTGGGTACCCGATACCAGCTCCACCAGCCTTCACATCATAGGAGTCATACTGTGGAGAAAAACTCTGTAAAAGAAATAGAGAAAAAAAAAGAAAGAGGAAAAAAAAATAATAAAAAAAATGTAATTGCTACAATTCAAGTATTTTTTATACTGGTACAGTAAATGCATGAAAATAACTCATTTGTGTCTGCTGAGTAGTACTAGCTTGACCTATAGCTACCATATATTTACATAAGAGAATCCCAGACAGTGTCTTCTTTCTGAGGTCATGGTGACATTAGCTCTCCATGCTGGGCACATTCATTTCTCTTCTTGACAGCTTGTCCTTAGCTGAACCACAAAATTACCTTTCTCTCTCTTACTCTGGTTTGACTCCTTAGCTCCTTTCCCCAGTTTCTCTGTCTCTTTTCTGTTGGACTTAGTTGTCACTCAAGGATGTTGATGAAATATTTGTTGTTGCTCCAAAGAGCACAGCTGCTTGTTATTATCATTATAATTTTCCTGATTTCTTTTACCTGTGCCTAATGAATGACTCATTTCACATGAGCAGGTAGTCAAATCATGTGGCATTAGTGCAGTGATGCATTATTGGCCCACAGGTGGTGGAGCAGGAAGGGCTGAACATATGCAGTGCTCTGCCTGTTCCCGCAAAGCACTGTGGATCCAGCTCCTGCACTAACCAGGTCAGGATCCAACAGCACATCTTTGATACAGGGTTGGAATGGAGGGCTAATTCAGCCTGTTTTCCTCTCCTGTGTTTGCCTCTCCAAATCCCAAACCAGTGTCAATGCTGCCCACTGGGACTGGTAAACTGATCCACAGCTCAGTCCTGCAGAGGCAATCCCTTTCAGGATTAAATAAAAATGAGACATCTTGCCTCACCTTCTGGCTTACCTGGGAGTGGGAAGCATATGTGGAAGTTATAATCAGTGTACTCAAAAGTAGCAATGATTTTAACATGCACTATTTATCAGCTTTATGCTAAAGAAGTCCCATCTTGTAACCCTGGGCTTGGTGGCCTGCATGGATGACAGTGTCACCCTGTAACAAAGCACTGCCTGGGGCTCAGGGCTGATTAACTTCAGTTACAATCAGCTCTCTTGCTGGTGTGCCCAGCTCTTCTGAAGTGACTTCAGCATGCAGTGAGCCAGAAATAAAGGGGCACCATGACAAATAATACTTGCATGGCACCTCCCTGCCAGCAGAGGAGCAGTGCTCCAGTCTAGTCTTGTTGGAATATTCTGTTATTAAACATGAATTGATGAAATATAGGAAAGTAGGAGACTTCCCTAACTATAAAGCTTATGGGGAAATTCTCCATCAGACTCTTTCTGATCAGATTATTTCTGAGTTACCAAAGTCCTTCAGCAGATCAGCCCCCAAAAGTTTTAAAAAATAAGGTAAGGCATATATTTAATTGCACTTCAAAGAAATTTTATGGACAAACCTCAAAACAACAGCAAAACCCCACGTACCACCCATCTCTGTTTCCCAAAGGCACAAATGGGATGGATGCCACCAAAAGCAAAGCACCTGGGCAAGTGCAGGGGACAGATGCCTACAGCATTGCTTTGCATGGCTATGAGCACCAAGGGAGAAGCTGAACGTAACAATGACTTACACCTCCACTTATACTGGGACACGACTGGCAGATTCCTGGGGGCCCAGGAGCTCCAGGGCTCCCTGGCTGTCCTGGTGGGCCAGGGGGACCATTTCTGCCTGGAACTCCAGGAGAGCCCTGCAAAGACACAAACACAGCAGATACAGATGTTGTCACTTGCCTCCTGCTGCACGGACATGGAGGGAGAAACCTTTCCATTCATAACAAAGGCTGTGCGTCTGTGGTGGGAAACCTCTCCTAAACAAGGCCACAACCAAACATTCAGGAAAGACAAAGTTCACACATGGAAACACTTGGTTAATTGAACCTAATTACAACTGATACATAATCAAACTCATCAGAAATATTTAGCAGTTCAGTTCCTGAATCTGAAATTATTACTGCTAGTAGAGACTTAAAGATGTTTTTTCCTCCTTCTTGAAAGAAATACAACAAAATACAACAAATCTGATACAGTTTGGACTAAACTCTGTTCTTTCAGTTTAAATTTTTGAGAGTGTTGTTGAAGCCAAACTTCTACTTCAAAATAACTATATGGTACAGTCCTGCTGCAGACAGTTCAGACATAAAGAAAGCAGGATATCCTGGCAGCTTGAATGGGATATATAGCACTAGAGGAACTGGGGTCTTGATTTTGTTCCTTTCTTTAGGGAAAAAATAAAAGCTGCACTTACAGGGTCTCCCTTGGGGCCTCGGCTGACTACTCCAGGAGTCTACAAAAAATTAAAAAAAAGGAAAGGTAATTAAATCAAGACACAGAATCAAAATAAAACAAAAAAACTGCACATGTAAATAAGAGCAAAATGCTTAAACATTTGATATAGTTTTCTCACATGAATTCCATTAATGCTTATTAATATATTTAAAAACTGTAGGGTTTTTGGTCAGTCAATCTACTAATGCTTGGATCATTCATAGAATTACATCTCTCCTAGAGCCAAGAACATGGCACTTATGAATTCAGTACAGCTTTGCCATTGAGTGCCACGGGGACAGAATTCCACTGTGGAATGCTGTGACAGTTTTCTTGAGTCCTTCTCACACCAGCATGAGAAGTGATGAGCTAATTTTAAATTCTCAGATCTACTGCTGCAATTTATTTATTTTTCAATTAATAATTCAGTTACATGTTACTAACTGGATTTTCAATTTTTGTGTTCAGCTGCTACCTTCCGTAGCAAGGAATATTCAGCTGAAACAATCTTGGATCTTTCAAGATAGCATTTCCCTATACACTATCCAAGGTCATCAGGACAGCTTCCAACGGCCTGACCAAACTGCTATATCAAAGAGAGATGCTGGGGGAAGAGTTCACCTGTTCTTCATTATCAGGAACTCCAGAACTTAAGAGTCTCTAAACAAAGAGAGGGAGGTGTACTTAAATCTCCAACATACTTTTCTATACCACTCATTTCCACCTCTCAACATGTTCAGTGAAGTAGCTCAGAGGACCCTGGGACCAGTGGAGTACTGCAAGTGAGGTGCAAATAAGATTAGGTGACATATCTGTGTGACAATCCATGTGTAAACAGATGTGCTGTAGAGCTGCAGAAATGCATCTTCTCTCTCTTCCTCACATCTCTTTCTTATTTTGTAGATAAGGATTTTTATTGTGTCTGTGGCAACCTAAGTACTTTGACAGAACCTCATGGATCCTTAACACTGGTGAAATGTTCAGATAAGCTGAAAGCTCAGATAGCTGGCTCACTCACTGAAAGACTTAGGAAGGGGGCTTGGCATGTACTAACATTCTTGATTTTCCTGAGGCTAAGTTGCTGCAACTGGTTTGTATAATGTTGGTGTCCATAAAAAGATGATGATAAATTAGGTATGTACAGTATAATCACCTTTCCTTTACAGGGCATTAAGTCAGCAATAAGACTGCAAAAGGAAATTCACTCTGTGATGATGTAGAATTGAGTTGATGAGAAATGAAGACACAGAGATGCTATTAAAGTTCTCTAATTTTCTTTGACTCTGTGTTGGCATTATTTTCATCTATATGGATTGAGTATTAAGTCAAAAATAAGGTGTTTGCTTTATTCCTATGCTTTTCCATAAAATGAAAAATGTAATGCCTATTTGCTGCCCTCTGTCCCTTTCTACTATTTTGGTGCCTGTTGTCTACACAAAACTGAGTTGGAAGACTTAATATTATCAGCTGCATTGTCCATCCTAAGTATTTGCCTAAATTCAGAAAGTTGCATTGAAAAGAAAAGCATTTAAGAATATCTAAGCCAAAATGATTTGAGGTTGATGTGCATTAAGAAGGCAGCAAGACCAAAGAAACAACAGTGAAAATAAACTTACTCTTGGAGGGGGTGTTGTTGTTTGTGGGCAAACTGGGCAGCACTCTCCAAAAGGGATCTCTGGGTTGGGGCAGTCCAGCTCCTGATCATCACAGATGATGTCATCGCAGAGAACAGATCCCGAGTCGCACACGCAGATTTGGCATGGCTCTGGTTTCCAAACGTCCCTGTCAGCATAAGCCTGCCCAAGATGGGTACATCCTGTGACTGGAAAGAGAGAAAAATAGTGTTGGATATTATTTCAAATGTGTTTTCCAAATTACAAATGAGTAACATGAAAGCTGTTAGATAGTTTGTTTGGTTTCCTGGTTCATGCATGTGAACTAAAAGGCTAAATGCTGCTCTTCAGGCACTGGGGGATCTGTTACATTAATTGCAGAGTCTGCTCTGAGTTTATAAACAGACATCAGTGGAAACCTCCTGGAGCTGAGCCAAAGCCCAATTAAATCTCTGATAATCTTCTGTCTTGAGTAATTTTAGTGTCAGACAGAATTACTGTCCAATTAACAATCAAATTCTCTGCTGCAGCTCAAGAGTAAACGTGCCTAAGCTCTCCAGCAAGAGTGCCACTGGCCCCACGTGCCAACAGGAGCACTTGCACATGGATGTGGGATAAGCCATCTGTCCAGCACCAGCCCCTGTCTCCAGCATCTTGCATTAATAGCTGCCACCAAGGGGCTTCAAAGAGTTTTTGAAAGCCAGCGTATGTGACAGATCTGAAAGAACGCTCACGTTAATTGCCCAAATGGTTTGCAATTATTCTATCAGCTGGCCTGCTCAAATGTTACAAGTGTCTTTTTTTCAGAAAAAAAGATTGTTCATCTGTAATAATCATGGCTTTGTGAATTCCTTCCAACAGCTGTTTTACTGGTCAAACTTTTTATAGACTATGAATATGAAAAGGTTGACAAAAACTGCCTTGACACATTAAATTTTGGGACGGTATTTTCCTAGAAAAACACAATCCAGACAGCCAGGTCATTTAAGAACCCAATGTAAAATAACACTAAGAGCATCTAATTTGATTTTTACAAGCTCATTTTAAGTTTTGTAGATGTTATTAGAAGTCTTGGATTGCAAACATAAGTATCACTGAATGTCATGAATAATTTAATATTTTTTTTTCATGGATAGTTAGATTTTCATGGATAGTTAGATTTTTTTTTCATGGATAGTTAGATAGATAGATTTTTTTTCATGGATAATTAAAAATAATTCAGTTTATAAAAACAACATTCTGGAGAAAGAGCTATTTTTGTGCCTACATCATCCTTAAAACTTTAATATGAGGATAATTTACCTACTATACACTACCCTTCAAAAAGAGAAAGAAAATGACAAAAGATGAAATTCAAATCTCTGACATTAAAATTGCCACTGGCTCCAGGCAGAAATTTCTGAATATCATCAAATTGTAATGGCCACAATTATCTAGCATGAGACTGAGCCCAAATTTATTGCAGTTTGTTCCTATGGGTTATGCAGTCCCTCTTTTTTTTTCATTCCTGCACTTTTAATCTCTGTTTTTATCTTTCCACCACTGCATTAGCACCCTGGTCTCGTTTTTTTCCCTTTTCTTCCTCTCTGTATTTGTGGGTGAGTATCCCCATTCCACACCAATGTTCTTTGGCAATGTGCACACTTAGATGTGTTTCCTTTCTTCTCATGCTTCCTCTGCATTTCACCCTTCCCATAACACATAACTTCCCTTTTCATCTTCTGTGAATCCTTTCATTTTGTACCTGAGCATCTCCCCTTCTTTATTGCCATGTGCTCAACTGAGCTTGGTTTGCTCCTTCTGCTCCCTTCCCACTTTTTCACTCAGCTGGTTTTGCTTGGTCACACGGATCTGACATTTTCCTCTATTTCACCCATGGAATTCATTACCTCCATTGAGCTCTGAAGGGCAATGAGGAATACACTCATGGCTCCCTGAGGGGAGAGCCAGAGTGCAGATCCTGGGGAAGAGCACTCCATGGGACAAGAGGGTTTATTTTCCCAGTTTCGATCCTACTACAGGCTGTCCATGTCCATGCACACCATCTTGTGTTACTTTTGCCCTTTAATTATAAAAGAACCATCAGGAAAATGTTGACTTGTTAAGGCTGGCACTCCTTATGGTTAAGAGTTGATTTTGACCACTGTCTTGATTAGAACAACAAAGCTTCAAAAACCCTTTCCAGATATTTTCAAGCCAATATTTTTTTCTTTGCTTGATATCAAGCTGGGATCCAGTATTTTACCTTCCTTTGGCAACACAAAAAATCTTAACATGGAAAACCTTCCAGTGGCATATGAAAACTCACTCCCCTCAGACATTCTGTATCACTTAGAAACTCAGATTTTCCTTTTCTACCCCTTTTGGGCCTCTCTAGAAACTTAACATTCTGCACAAGAGAGATGGAGAAGAGCTGCTCATTTCCAGGACAGCCTCTTCCCCACACCCACATGTCACAGCATTATGGCATCAGAGGATGCTGCTTCAAAGGATCTAACAATGTGTACCTCTGAATAGGGTCTAGACCTCCTTCATTAACCTGCCAAGCTAGAGCTAGTTTCTAAAAATGTTGCTTGGCTTCCCAGTCCTTACCCCACAAAACCATATCCATGGATCCCAGGGAAATAAGCTGATTCTCTGCTTAGTTATGTGCTGACTGTTCCTGCAAGAAACATTTTCCTCCTTTTCACAAGCCAGGATCTTGCTGTGGGCTCTTAGGGAAAAAACAGGCTGCCCAGTCTTGTCAAGGCTATTGACAAATGTTTCCTGACAAACAAGAAGGCTGAAATGCAGCGGTGAAGGATTATGAATGAAATCTTTATAATCCCTGAAGTGACTCAAGAGAAAAACCAAATCATAGAGATTGCTGACATGGAGCCCTCGAAAGCTGTGTGCTGTGGGAGGCAGAGCCTCACAGAGCTGCTGGGGAGGTTAGAGCCTGTGAGCCACCCTGGAAGAGGGGTTGGATGCACCCTGGAGAGCATGGATGGGCACAGATCCATACCACTCAGAGCAATGGACTGCACAGCTGTGCTTGAGCACCCACCAGCTCCACAGCTTAAAATGCTCTTTTCATTTGGAACCATAATAAGGAAGGGGAGAAATTCCTTTTTTCTAGTGCAAGTCATAGTTGTTAAATAACAATACCATTGTATGGACCTAAAAGAACCTAATTCTGTTACTATTTGCACTTGTATATGTAGTTATATGAATTGCATACAGACATAGAGAGTTGCATAACATACACATGGTTTCTGTACCCAGAAGATGTGTTTGATTAATTGTAATATTCTGATTTTCAGCTCCCAGTATCACTTAGCCTTCGAAAACCACCTATTTTTTTAACTATGTGTTTAAAACAACAAGGTCCTTATTTACTAGGAAATTCATATCCAAGGATTTGAACATTCCTAAATAATTTTTTTCATAATTGCCACTTATTTTTCATTGATTTGTTTTGTTGTTTTGTTGTTTTCAGAGATGTGATCTTGCTGCTTTACAGCAAAGAGGACATCTCCAATGAGGAGCAGAAAAAGGCCATCTTTCCCCTGTTTTTGCACTGCTAGTTAATAAAGATTCTGTTTCCAAGACAGAAGCAGTCTTTCCTCAGTGCCAAATTTTTCACACTGTGAATACTTACCTGCCAAATATTATTCAAAGATATCAGTTAAAAACATGGAAATTTAAAATATGTCACAATGCCTGATAATTTTTCATTAATAAGGAAATAAAGGAGATATCTCTGCATTTTTACAAGCTTGTCATTCAGTTATGCTACAGTAGATGGCATCATTTAACAGGAAGATGACAAAAATTTGAAGACATATGGATATAATGATATTCATATTTGCTTCTAACTTTCTGGACATTGTTAAATGAATTAAGAAATGAGCTAGGAGAGCTGCAATGAAAACTGCTGTGGCCTTTGGCAGAATGAAAATATTAAATAGATTTCCAAAGGAAACTTACATCTGGGAAGACTTAGGGTGTTAAAGACACCCCCTCTGCGCTCAGATGTAGATCTGTGTGTCAGCATGTTATGACATAATGCATTTTGCATTGCTCATAAAGATTAACTGTTAGCTCCAAAATCCTTTGGAAAGCTGATTTGTGCTAAAGCACTGGTGAGTAACATATAGGAATAATGAGGTTATAAAAAAGCTGACTTGTCTGCCTCTAGACTTGTGGTATAACAGCCACATACTTGCCTTAGCCAGTTTTTCTTATTGATTCCTAAACATTCTCATTAGCCTGAGAGTTAAGAAACATTAGATCTCAACAGTATTTGTCTATGGCAATGCACAATCTTATTCTTCCTCCCACAGCCCTAAATATGATGGCTGTACAGCACTTCACTTCTGTGGCACTTACTGCAATGTTTTGTTGGAAGCCCTGTCAATCTCTAGTGCACTGTTATAAAAGTTTAATATTTGAAAGCCTGAATTAATTTGAAATTATGCTGTTTACCGAGCACTCATGTTATAGATTTTGCTGTGCGTAGCACTTCCCTGGGCCAGCCCAAATACTGAATAAAATAAAAAAAAAGGCAAGACAATAATTTTTGTATGTTGGTTTTGAATTATTTCCCATTCTAGGAAGACTGGCAGCTGTCCATAAGCAGGCCAATATTGAAAGCTGAAAGGAAAATCACAATTTAGTTCCAAAGGACCTATAGATGGGGTACATAGAAGAGCCCAAATGTGGGCAAGGGAAAACACAGATGGCCATTGTCATATGGCCTGAAAGATGACAGATGTCATACGGGACATAATCCCAATCCCAGAGTGGTGAAGGGGAATTTGTTATCACATGAGAATCTGACCTGCTCTGTAGTTGGTTTTGGCTTTGCATTTGTGCAAGAACCATGATCATGACTTAACCACAATTTTATGGCAAAAGGAAAAAATTTCCTAATAGTATCCTCAAAAACCACAGGCTTTTCCACTTTGGACAAAGGCAACGTCCAGCTATTGCATTAGAAGCAGACTTGCATATCCCCCATTTACAGAGATGTGACTAAAGGGTTAGAAATTAAAAAACATCTTGAACTTGTCTGGTTCTGCCTCAGAGAGGGCAATAGTCCACACAGGGGTGACTCACGATCCCCCAGCAGCTGCCTGATTATGGCCTGGGAAGCAAAACTGAGGAGCTTTGGTCTGTGAGAATCTGATCACAAACACAATGAGTCAAACAAACAACTTCTGCTGTATTTAAAGTGAATCTGCTAAAGGCTAAAGCAGCAAGATGAAGAAGGCCTTGCCTCTAACTTTGACAGAATCCAAAGCCTAATGAAGTTAAGAAGAGCATTTGCGTTACTCTTTTAGCTGTACAAAACCTGTGCTTCCTCATCCTGACCTAGTTTTGCAGGATGAGTACTTCAAAAATTGTTTTACATTTCTTCTGTAGTAAATACATCTGTTAATTGCATACCCCAGCACTGTCTGATACATTGTTTAAGCAAAGCACAAAGTAGAAGGAAGATTTGTTGTCTATTTTCAATACAAACACAATCATTCTCCCCTACTGGAGTAGGTGGAGGAATCCACCCCAGCATGTGCAGCAATGCTGCTTTCCATTTCCTGAGCAGAAAAGAATGCCACAGCATCTACCTCGAGGCAAATGGTTTGGGCTCCCTGTCTGGGATGAGGATGATGTTTACAAGAAACCCAAACACACTCGTTCCATCCCATCATTAGTCATGGAAACAGGCAGGCTCATAATGAATGAATTGGCTGCAGCAGCAGGGATGGGATGGCCTGGTCTGCTGGCATGTCCGGTCAGTGCTGAGTACTCCAAAGGGCTCAAACCCTGTCTGGGTCACAGCAGTCAGGAAAAGAGGTGGAAAAAAGGGAAAAGAAATGGTTTAATTGGTTGGGGTTTTTTTTAACTGCAAGGCCTTTAAACATTCTCTCAGCTGGAATTGTCTTAAACAGCTAATAAATTGAATCAATTTCACACAGTGCATGAAGACATAAGGGCCAATTTAGGTATCCATACATATTAGGATATTTTCAGGTTTAATAGTAATGATGGAATATTTTGCAAGGCTTGTCCACATGTGATTGAAGGTAATGAAACCTCCATTTATTAAACTCCTAAATGCAGACCTAAACACCTAAACATTGACCCAGAGTGGGTCAACCATAAAAATCCATTGATGCTCTGGGACCTGTAGAAAGAAGGAAGAGCTGCTATCAGGTGGAATGGAAAAGGAGCATGAATGAATGAGTGAAACTTCCCAAGCTTCACACCAAAAAGGACAGCTACATCCTGTGCTTTCAGAATGAAACTGAAGCTTTCTTACTTCTAGGGATGCTCGTCTGCCAAGAAAGCTGGCATTGGAACAGTTCTGCTTCTGCACTTGTCCCAGTTTTGCTCTTTTCTCAGATGCAGAGTAAGAAAGAGAAAGCTGCTTAAAAGAATGCTGGTTAAGCATTCAGAGTACTGTACTTGTCTGTCAGAGGTGGTGCAGGATGGAGTCATGTGCTGTTTCACTGGCAATGTACAGAAGAGTCTGGATCCTTGTGTCACACAGCCAAACTGTCCTTGCTTCGAGACCCACCCAGTCTGTATGTCAGATTACAAAACAAATAAGAAAAAAACAGGCCTGCACTGGTACAAACAAGTGCTTGCATTTTAAACAGCTCATTCCTTGCTCCCTTCATTTGTCTTTATATGCTACAAATGCCACAACCTTTCTGCAGCCTTTAGAAACTAAGAAATATCAGGATTAGAATATATCCTAAGCATATTTGTTACCAAGTAAAACACAAAATGCCTCTATTGCCCCTGTAGATTATTGGGTTTTTTCCTAATCTTTCAAAGTGGATTTAAAAACTCTAATTTCTCTGTTTTATCTTCAGAGGTTTAGGTTTCACAAATTGCTCCACTTGGGCACACATGCTGACACCCCGGAATGATGTTCTTCATACAACTTCCAAAGCTCACCCTGCCACAGAAGTGCTGCAAAGAAATCGTGACCAGAGATATCCCAGCAGAGATGTTGTTACACAACAGCCTCCCTGCTTCAGCTGGTGTCTGGCACGAGAAACCATGGCCAAAGAACTGGCTTCTTTCAAAACTGGTAATAAGCAAACAAATGCAGGGTGGTTTCTCTGCTGGTTTAGTTGGGGAGAGTTGTTTTTTGGCAGAGCTGTCCTTTCAAGCTGAGTCATACAAGGGGCAGGATAGAGCAGACTGCTCTATCTCTATCGCCTTGCTTCTTTCTTGGGGCTGCCCAGGAAAATGTTGACTGTTCCTGAACTCATAAAAGTAATTTTGAGGAAAAGCTTCTGCTGCACTCAGGAGACAGTTATACCCCTTTTGTTCTTAGCTATTCCTTGACAACATCATGGGCAAATTGCTTTTTGCATGGGAGGAAGATATTCCTGACTGACCATCTGTATTGAGATGTTACTCTGGGATTTCCTCTCCAGTGTCCCCTCTCAACCAGCTGACTATGGGACCAAATTATATTTATGCTTCTGTCTTTTCAGTAGATATCAACCTCTTTTTGCCATAAATTCCAGAATTCAGATAATTCCTCCCTGATTAAGGGTAACCACTGTCTGATCAGAACCTCCCTTGATTTTACTGGGCTTTGAATCAGACCTAAAAGTTGTTGGCTTCTAATCATTCTGGTGGAAATTCTGGTGGAAGCTCTTCAGCGCCTGACAGATCAAATCTTTTACTAAGGGTAGCATTAGCATTAGAGCAGGACACAAAGTAAGAAGACATTTCATCATAATTCAGTCAAAGCCTTTTAGAGGGACCATTGCATCACATCTCAGCTACTCTTCAGTGACTGGTAAAATGCCTATGAGATTTTTCCATCCCCTCTGTTCTTACATTACAATATTTTTTGGCACATCACTTTTTGTGCCACGTGGTACAAAAAGTGCCATGCCACTTTTTGTGTCATGCTAAAAATAAGGAACAGGCTGCAAGAACTTCTTTTATGGCTATTTAGTTGTAGAGCTGGCATAAATTCTAATATTAGTCTGCAGAAATAATGATTTTAATCTACTTATCGTTAGAGTGAATGATACCAAATTCTTTCATAAAGACTTGTGTCTTCAACTAAGCAAAAATGGACATAAATTTAAGGTCCAATATGATTTCTGATTATTTAATGGATTTATCAGGTTCTTTAAACATGTATTCTGCTCATTCCTTGGGCAGTTGATGAAGACTTCTAGAGTCAGAATCTAACTGTCAAGGCAATGTTAGTTTTGAACACTTGACCACTTCCAATTGTATTCAATAAGAAGCTGGCCTAACATATTTCTAAAGAAAAGTAATAGTTCAAGCTCAACATTACTAGGATCAATTAATGGAAAAAATTTACTAAAGTACAGCACAAGACTTTGCCAAACTTTAAAAAAAAAAAAAAGTCAGCCCAAAGGTGTAGCTCAAAGACATAGTTCTGCATTCCTGATTTTAGCTAGGACCAGACAGAGTTTATAACATTGGAGGGTTCTTTGAGACAGTTCTTGAATAGGTCAGCCCTGGGAAGAATAAAGAAAAACCTGGAAAAGTCATTGTGCACAGGTTTGCCAGACCATACAATCACTCTGACAGATCCAAAACATCATGAGAGAGAGTTTCAGCTTTAGATCTGATAAGAGAAAGGGAATAAATACAAAATGCTAATTGTTGAAGTTTGATCCACAAAGAATCTCATTTAAAACACTGAACTGTAACTACTTAATTAATGATGCTTTAAGCTTCTGGCATGATAAAACCTAAACACTGTGTGGGGAAAAATGTATGACTTTTGTTTTGCATTGTCTAAAATTGTAATTAAAACAATTTTTGGCAGGTAATTAAAATTTCAAGTGGGACATGATCCTTTCTTTCCCCTCAGCCCTGTGAGAGAGTGAACAGATTTATGCAATTCTGTTTCTGTGGTTTGCCTTGGAAGAGATCAGCCTGATTCAATGCTTCTCTCCTGAGGCTGAAGCAGATGGGAAATGTTACAATGGCAGTATAATACATGTGGTAATATCATTTATATTTTCAGATACCTTGGACAAAGTCACCCCAATATAACTCCACAGCCATGATGGACTTACATCTGAGATGAGCAAAGCAGCAGGGGGGCAAATTCTACGCTGGCCTAAGTCCCTGCACGATTTTATTGGTTTCCCTGTAATTTCAGAAGTTGGAAGTAAATGAAGGATTTTGTTCTTGCATTTCATATTCCAGTGAAGGATTAAAGTGCTCTGGCATACTGTCTAAAGAAAAGAATCATATCTTTGGCTGCCAATAAATTAAGGGTATTTGTAATTCAGAAGGTTGTGGTGGGGTTCTAAATGCATAGAGCATCATTAACCTAGATTCATCTGCAAAACAGTTTGTATTCATTCACTCCTTATTCCAGTTTGTACTAATTCACGCCACATCCATTTTGGACAGACAGTTTGTTGGATATGGATGGCAGTATTTGAAATTCTTCTTAATCTGCCTCATAGAGGATATTAAATGGCTATTTGTACACTGGATACAACGCTCTTATTGTCAACCTCCTAGGGCTACTAAAGTAAGTATTGTGAGGGTTTTCTCAGGGTACCAAAGACAATTTAATTTTGGAGACACTTTTAAATATCAAGTTCTATGCCTGGAAATTTTTCAAGCACAAAGACCTACAGATCTTCCTAACGAATTCCCTTGTGAGGTGAAAATTCATACTTTTGGTGCAGGGAAGAGCCTGCAAGAAGAGAGCTGGCTTTTTATTAATATCAGAGGTCAGCAGCCTTGCTACTGAAGTGGCTGCCTGAGGCCTGGCACACATTTAGCTCTCCCTGCTCTGTGCAGCAACAACCCCAGCTGGCACAGGGTGAGAATAAACAGCACCACATAGCCCAGGAGGGCTGGAACATCTGCAGCAGACACAACCCCATCCAGCACAGTTTATCTGCTGAGCCCTTAAAAGGTATGAGTGAAACAGCTGGAGCCAGAGAACACCTGATAAATGAAAAGACTCTGTACAATTCACTTTTTTGATTCTTCACTGAAAGACATTTACAGCAATCTTTCTCTCTTCAGCTGCTCAGAAATAATCAGTTGGACTAGAAAACCTTTCTTCTTTCTTCCCCCCACTCCTCCATATTAATGCTATTCTGTTCATACAAAAAAGAGGGAGCTACAAAGAGGACCACCCTGCCAACAGCTAAGCCACCAACAGCCTTAGAATATTGTGCAAAGAATCTTCAAAATGTCTGAGCAGATTTCAATTACTCTTTTCAAAGATTTGCAATTCCCACTACACAGCCCATTGTTTGCTTTCACTAGGACATTCCTCTCTTAAACAGCTGGCACAGAATGACTACTGCTCTGCAGGGAAACAAGCAAACACCATACAGTAGATTAAAAGCCAAAACCAGAGAAGCTGAAGGTTTTTTTTTTTTAAAGAGGCTCTCATGAACATAAAAGTGTTTTCCAAGAAAATATGAATCCTATTTTTGCTGCTTATAGCTGAAGGAAAGCATGGGGGATGTAGTTTACTCTCCTTTGATGCTCAGCATGGCAATTACAGTGAACATCAAAGGAACAATGAGCAATGCTTCCCATATTTCCCATTAACTCTGTTTGGGTGAGCAATTGTCTCTGCCTCATCTCTTTGAAAAAAAAGGATGCAATTTTGTTCTTGCTTATTTTCCTAAAAGAAAATGAAAAGAAGGAAAAGAGAAGAAGCAGCACAAAGGGAAAGAAGAGAGAAAAAAGATGTTTGCTGCAGACAGCCTTCTAATGCACCCACTGGTCACTGGGCATGAGCTGCAGGGAGCTTCAGTGGGAACTGATTATGTCCAGGAGTTTTCCAAGAACTGCCAGAGCTGAATTGCTGTGGGAAGTATTTTCCACACACAGATCATCCTTTCATATCTACTGCTGCAAAACGTGCCTGGGTTGTTCCTGTGATTCTGCTGCCCTTTGCAGCGCTGGAGTTGGGAATAAAGGGGTGCCTGAAGCTGCCGAAGCAGCCCAAGAAAGGTTTGCACTCACGAGGAAAGGTTTCACCTGATGGGAAAGCAGAGGTGCCTGTGACACCCTCCAGGGTGGGATGCACAGTGACATGAAAGAGAAATCCAGCAGCAGAAAGGGATGTGTCTCCAGTGGCTGTGGATACTTTTGCATTTTGCTGAAGGCCAAACTCTGCTAAAGTCTTAAATCTAAAAGTCACATCCCTCATTTCTTGACAGTCATTTGGGTGCCCTTTTAGCTGTAGGAGAAGGCCTAGGCTTTCAAAGCAAAAAAACACATTCAGCCTTGAAATACATATATTTTCACTACCCTCACATTCTTCCTGTTCAAAGTCCTGTGCATGCTTTCTCCTTCCTGGCAGATATCTCTTCATGGAGTATTTGTGTGAATCAAAGCAAGACAAAAATGTGCAGACATTGTTAAAGGAAGTACCATTTGCATTCTCCTTCTGATAGTTCATGTTTAAATGAAGGGTTTGACATAAATGGGGGAAAATGGAAGTAGTCTCTGAGCTAATCTGAAAGGAATCTCCTCTGCTAAACTAAACAAAGCCAGAAGTCCCAGAGCTGAAGTTTATCCAAACTAAAGCCAACAAATGGTTGTTGTTGGAGGGGGTTATATCATGTTTTCCATTGTCATGTTGACATGAAACAGGCAGAGGCTTCCACTTTGCAAACCCAGAGACAAGACTGGCTCTGAAGTGAAAATAAATAAAGAGAAGCAGTGGCTGGAAGTAGGTTAAGTTTCCTCTAATCAAAATTCAAATAACCTTTCCTATAAAACAGAAGATGAGAAAAAATAATGACTGCTTGAAAATACCAATGAAAAATACAATGTACTATACCTATATGTGAAAGATGAGCTACTCTACAGTGAATGGTGGATCTCATTCCTCCTTGCACACTTCCAGCATTTAAGATAGGGTTAGTAGACCTCCCCCTGTCTCTCTTGTAGTTACAGAAGAGACTTTCTGATTCCAGTAATTTGTAATTTTTTTACTTGGAGGGTCTCTCTTGATTAACCATAGTCAGAAGCAATGCAAGGGTTAATATTTGATTTTTCTTTTTAGTACAGTCTCAAAGCCATGTGAGAAATATTAATAGCATGGCCACCACATATAAATATGTAAATCTTATTTCCCTGAAACAAAGTCTGACTGTGTTGAATGGAGAAAAATCAATAAATTCTGTGGGAATTCCTTACAGATTTTTCCAGTGACAAAACGTCTCTTGTCAGGGAAGCCACAGAAAGGACAGAAAGGAAAGCTTCATGAACCCTGTGCATCAAAAGACTGAGTGGAAGAAAATCCCTAGAGAAGTAACTGTCCTGCAGCAGTCACCAAGGCTGTGGGAAGCTGCCAGCAGTGAGCCACCACACAGCACCTCTGCCACAGGGACACCACTGGTGTGACAGGACACCACTGGTGTGAGGGCTAGCTGAGAGCCAGCCCTCCAGGAGGAATCCACAGCATCCCCTGGGATGCAGGTGGGCAGCACACTGCGGGCCAGGGCTGCAGCATGCTCTGCACCCAGCCTCACCGCCCTCAACAGCCTGACCTGCAGTTACAGAGGTAAAATAACCCTTCTTGCACCCACCCTGGAGCAAGAATCACATTCCTCCTTCGGTACAAGGTGTATCACCATGGATATGTAGAAGCAGGGATAGGCAAAGTATCGTAGCAGGTAAATGATAACACTAAAATGTTTGTTACATTTAGGGTTGAAGGTTACCTATCATCTGCCAAAAACCAAAATCAGAATGTCTCAAAATTATAGACAATTGGTGGTAGATACTCAACTCTAAACCATGTTAAAGTCACGTAATCTACAATTTACCAGGCTACAACATGGAGAATGGGCTAACAGCAGCAGTGTTGAATCAGAACACATTTTATTATACCTTTCTCAAGTCTGTTTTATTTTTTTGGGTGCTGCCTACAATAAACTGAACTGTGCTCCATCATATCAAACTGCAATGGTGTAGGACCCTAATCCAGTTACTTTAAGACCATAAAACCCCCTATTTGTTAATAACATATCTTTGCCATTGCCAACAATTTCCCTTTTCTTAACTGAGATCTTTTGCCTAGTTTCTTAAAGAAGCATGACTAAAGGACAGCATAATCTGGAATATAAATGGCATGACCATTGCACTAATATCTAATTCTGTGAGCTTTGACAAGTTATTACTCCAAACCAACAAATGAAATCTTGCAACTGTTACAGCAGCTGTGGGTTGTGCTCTTCAGCAGACCAGTAACCTTCCACTGAAAATCAAGAGCGATACAGTGCTCCAGGTGCCCTCTAGCCTGGGAAAGTGCACTTTGTTATGGTTTGCCCTTCCTGGTAGGCTGAACCTTTCAACTCTGAAGAGGTGGCTTTTAACCCCAAAAGCTAAATGCTGCTCTGCTTTGTTTCCATTACCAGCCCTCGGTATGTTGTTGCAATTAGGAGGGCAGGTATGTCCCATTTTCTGCAGATTTCTGATTAAAACAAGGTATGAACAACCTTAGCACATAACTGGGACAGTGAATAATGGAACAATGTCAGTCTGGTTTCTCAGCTAGCCTGTGGAACAAAACAGCAATGGTATTTTCTTTTTTTTTTTTTTTTAGCAGCATTAATTGCAACTCTCCCCCAGCTGTTGTGTAAGGCTGGCATCAGCAGAGTTTGCAAGTGACACCTGGCTGCTTATTTCAAACCTCAACACTTTGGCAGAAGCTGGAAGAAGAAACAGGATCTGCTTGTAATCTGCAGCACTAAGAGGAGAGCAAACGTAATGACTCCGACCCAGGCATCAACAGTGAGGTTTGTGCCAGCAACAACACCCTTCTACCTCTGCCTCTCCCCACTGTAATAAAGCAGTGGATGTTTCCAACTCCACCTCCTCTTTCAGAAAAATCAGTCTGTGTAGATTTGGTGATTTGGTCTCAAGTCAAAAACAAATCTGGAAAATAATGAAAGGGTTATATAATAGTCTCATTTTCCTAAGGCTAATGTGTTCCAGGGGTGTGTGATATAAAATGTGTTTATGAAATTTGTCATATTTCCAAGAACATATATATAATGTTTGGAGGGGGTGGATTCCCCAGGCTTTCATTTAGCATTATTTTTCCAGACCAGAAAGGAATGTTTCAATTTTCCTAAGCATAACCTTGTCTGCTGTGTGCTTGGTAAAAAAATAGCTAGGAAAAATGGAAGAAGAGGAGCAGACCCCAGATATTTCATTACTTTGCAAAGTCCAGGTTACTTATGATGGTTAATTATCTCTTGGCACACAGATTTGCATCATCTGGTTTTACTGTCAAAATTCTGGAGGGAAACCTTTCTGAGTTACCAAAACCTTTGAGGAGAGATAGTTCTGTTGTTAGCATTGCCCTTAAACTGGAAATTTATCAACAAAGAGCACATGTGTGCAGTGTTCCATACAGCTAACTGCTAAACATGACAGTCTGGCAGTCTCACAAATAAACTACATCTGTACAGTACTCATCCACTTTCACATGTGTATCCAATCCTCCCCAGTTAAAAAAAAAAAAAAAAAAAAAAAAAGCAAAATGGCCAAATCAGCTGTTTATAAGTTTTCCTAAAATATCATTCTTTTCTCTGGGATCAGAAATGGGTGCTCAGCATGAAAAGTAATTTGCACGCTGCCTCCTGAAACCTACATCTAATGGTTATATATAATTTTAAAACTGCAACTTGCAACTGAAAGTAGTATGAAAGGTCAATAAGTCTTGTCAGAGAGATTTTAGCATTCAGCCATTACCTCAGAAATGAGTTTCCTGACCAAACATCCAAGATAATACTTGCATTACAAGGAAAACACTAAATTACCTTAGAGCAAAAAATTACTTGGAATAATACTGAAGGGTTTCTGGCATTGCTGCCACACTGCTTTCAGAGCAGTAGAGTTTTCCTAATGACCTCAGCAAAGTTCCTCAAGGACTGGGGCGTACCTACGAGAAGTGTCCTGCTCTGGCTCACTGAGGTGTCCTTTAAGCATCACAGATACAGCTGAGACAGGCCCAAATCCATCTGATTTCCCTTTTGGCATTGATGTGAGGGCACTGTGGATGTGCTTCCTTTGTAGGCAGTGGAAACTGCCAAATACCTCCAGTCTGGCTAGCTAAAACTTATTCTGTCTTTTGGAAGTAGCTGTCATGACTGCCTCTACAAACTCAAGATAAATGGGATGAATGCAGGCTGCAAATCTTAGCAAATGCTTTCACAACTTGGGTGGAGAATGGATTTCTTTCCTAAAGAAGCATTCTAATATCTTATACTTTTGAGTAGTTTAATATGCAGGATGCAAAGGTGCCTTCAAAGGGTGGAACCCAATGTGCATTGCTGGACTCTGAATCATCTGTCATGTCCTGAAGTCCTGGCTTCGTGTCCTGTCAGCCATCAGGGGGCATCTTATCTTGGACATGGGCAGGGCTGGAAAGCCCTGAAACACATCAGAAAACCTGGATTGTGTCAAGGTGATTTCTCCTCCAGGATAAAAACATCCTGATGAGTTACAAGGACACAGCTTTTGAGTTCACAGAATATTTCTTGTTGCACAGTATCCAGATCCCAAGCTCTAGAAGAGGTTTAACCTGAGGCTGTACTCAAATCCCCATCCCAAGCTATTACAGCAAGACAAAGAAACACATAGCCCAGGGGTACATCTGACTACCCTAAACTCAGTGTATACTGAGCAGTTTCCTTAATATCTTGCCAAGTCTTGTGTCCTGGCAGGCTTTCCTAAGGAAAATTTTATGTTGACTTACATTTGATACTAACCATATAAACATTTTTCTTGACAAGAGAGAGCATTTCAGCATGTCTGGAAATTCTTTCAGTTGTGGAAAATTTGGTTTCCCAGTCCATTCCCTGCCCTGCACATGAATTAGTGATATGAATAATCAACTCCTTCAACTATAATTTTCTGTGAGAAAAGCATATTCAAATATGTGGAAAGAAACATTCTAAAGTGAGGAGAGCATCCAGCTTCTAAGGAATAACTAGTGATTTATCAGTCTCTCTGTGTAACCTCATCCCTGTAAATAGTATGGAAGTTAGCCCAGTAAGGAAATGTTACAACACCATGAAACAGGAATGTGGCAGAGAAATGAGAATACTCATTGACACTTCATTTGTGCATTGTTCTTCTACCCAAAATTTACCATTTATTGAGTCAAATATATGTTGCACCTCAGAAATGTCCAGGGATATGACTAGAGTGAGGGAAGGAGACCTGGCACCCAGGAGGGGTTTGTTTATGGAGAGAAATAAAATTGATGTTCCTTCTCTTTATATTGGATTGTGTCTTAGTGCTTATTCCTCTGACGATAGACACAGGTATACAAAAGAACAATTACTGCATGTAAAATATAAACAATATATATTATCTGCTGCTGGAAGTAGAGAAAACTCACAGCACATATTTGCCCAAATTTTATAATCACTGAATTTTATAATTTTTACTCATTATTGGAGAGAGAGTTTGTATACGGCAAGGCAGAAACAGAAAAGGATCAGTTCACAGTAAATTCTGTTTACTCTCTACAGAATATATGCATTGGTTGTTTTTTGGGGTTTTTTTTGTAGACACTTAGGCTCAGCCTGTGTCTGTGCTAGGTGAGGGGGGCTGGTGCTGCAGAGGCTCTCGCCTGCTTTGCTCATGCACAGATCCTCCTGAGCTCCAAGTGCTCCAGTGCCAACAGGCTGCTCCTGGTGGAGTCACTCACCCCTCGGCAGAGGTCCCTGTCCAGGTATGGTGAGACAGATGGGCTTGCCATGAACTGGCTCAAGTAATTCTTTTCATGATGTGTGACACACAGAGTAGTGTAGGGTGTGATTTTAAAGACATTTGGCTTTCCTTTACAGTTTCTTTGGCTGCTGCTTATCGAGTTAATTGTAAGGTTATTCCTTGCCTCTCTGTAGGAATAAACAAATTGCTGATCTTTCATATTTACAGGAGAGAAAAGTGTTTTATCTTAAGGAAGGACTGGTTTACAATATCTGGCAAGCAGGAACTGAACACATCCAAAAAAGGTCAGCTGTACTTGTGGAATGTCATCTGTTTAACTTAAATACTCATACCACACTTATCTTCACTCTAGGTTGAATTCTTGTATACAAAGCACTTCTCTCCCCTCTGAATTCCATGTTCAGTTGGTTTTTAGTGTTCTTGCTCACTGTAAACATGCACACACACACACTCACATGGACTTACACATACCATCAACTGCTAATCAGTCTCATGAAGGGCTGAAACAGCCTGCAGATGCCTGATTCAAACTATTGCAGCCGAGGGAATTAATTTACCCTCCTGTTCTATGCCAAAGTAAAAATTCTGTAAGCTGACATATTTTCATATATCACTCTTAAAAACTCCTTCAACAAAACCATTCAGAATTTTAAGGCTTTTTTTCCTGCATGGAAATTGTTGAAAGAAAACCCCACGCTGCCAGTGTAAGACAAACAAGTACAAAGGAGAACTCCAAATAAAATAGCTGGAAGCAAAGACTTTTTCCTTGTGAAAAAGAGCTTCCAGGCAGCACGGAGCTAACAGCTGTAATGTTATTGCAAGAGTTAAAAGAAATAGCTTAGAATCTCCTCGGTATCTGTAGCAGGAAAACAAGTAAGAACAAGAACAAATGCAGCCAAGGCAGACAGCATTGTACAGTCCTTCTAACTTTAAAGAAAGCAAAGCAAAGCAAAACCTTTGGGATGATACTGCAAATCCCTGCAGCTTTCAGCTTCACCATTAAACATCTGACTGCTGAATTAGTGAAGGAAAAGTGTTCTGGTGAGATTCGTGCATACACACTTCTGACAAGCTACTAAAATTATTGGTAAAAATAAAAATAAAATAAAAACATGAAATCATAAGAAGCTTGAATTACTCACCGACTTGTTGTGCCAAAATAACTGAGGGTTGAAACACGGCAAGAATGAGCAAAGTTACTTTTTGCACAGAGCTCATCATGTCTAAATATTAGACATGAGACTCTCTGTGCAAAAATAAAAAATGGGGGGGGAAAAAAAAAATCTGTTCAAAATAGCAACATCGGTTGTTCCCTGCCCTTCCAGCACCGGGCCATGTACAGAACTCAGCCACAAGCATTCCCCAGCTTTGGCCTTAAATAGGAAAAAAATTGGCTTACTTTTCTTTTCCACCCCCTTTACTGAAACATGAGAAGAAGACCCATCCCCTAACAGTAAATGAATGATTAATATTTCTCTTGGCTTTACAGAGGACTAAAGTCAACTAAACAAGATACACAGAACATCTGGAACTTTTGTGTGTGTCCGAAATGCATGCTGACACTGTATATGAGCAGTTAGTGTGCACTCTATGTGACAAATATGCACGTGAAAAAAAAGCCCCATGCCAAAGCACCCGGGGTAAAGCATTTTTTCCTGTTAATTAGGAGTCAATGGGTAAAACCCAAAGAGGATTTTTAGTTCTCAGTGCTCCCTAACAAAGATAAAAGCTAAGTGGAGGTGTAGCTGCACAGACTGAAAGAATCCCAGAAGTGAAGGAGCAATCCTGGGTATTTCTGCTAATGTGCAATCAGAGTTAATCGAAGGAAGTTCTGAAAATCACACTTCTGTTCCAGGGCTTTTCTCACTGTTTCCACCTCACAACGTGATTTTGTGTTACCTGGGGAGAACGCAAACATTAAAAAAATTTATGAAGAGAACAAGATTGCAAATCACAAGCATCAATCTCAAACTAAATCTTTTCAAGTAATTCAGTTTGATGCTGTCATTGCAACATTTGAAAGGAATGCAGAACTTTTTTTTTTTGTCTGTTTGCTCCTCAAACAAGAAGGTAGAGAAGACCAAAAAAAAAAAAAAAAAAGAAGAAAAGAAATCTTGAAACTACTAATGCCTTTTAAACCTAGTTATTTCTTTGTTCCACACAAAACTTCACTGAGAATAAGACCACAACACACAAACTTGTTTTCCAAATCAGGTGGTTTGAGCAGGTTTTGTTATGAATCTAGTTTTGCTGGGAATGTAGCCTTAAAAGACCCCAGAGTGAACGCAAGAAGCTGCCATAGTGGACATCCCTGCTCAAACAATGATCAAACCAATTGCTGCTCTCAGTCAATCAATCTGATCCAGGTCATGTCCTGCAGAAGTGCTCATTCATTTGTTCTCAGGTGTCGCTGTGATTACAGTGACCCAGGGAACCATCTCTCCTCTCGATAATTTGTGAGTGCCATGAACTGTCATCCAAAAAAGGGGCCCATAGCTCTGTGTGCATCACAAAATAAGAACAGCCTGAAGTTTAATCTAGTAGGTACTGGATCTCATTGCAAAACTTATTTGAAATAAATTTGCACTTAAACTGAAACACCCTCATCTGCTGGGGTCACCTGAGGTAGAGCCGGTTGAAGCAAGTGTGAAGTGGTCTTGAATAATTTGATGCCACTTTTAACACATCCTGAGCATTTCTTCTGTGTCTTAAATGTTTATAAGATATAAATGCCTTGATAGATTCCAAAGGAATTACACACCACATTTTTTTCCCTGGATCTCCCAATACTTCATGCTGTCTCTGTTGCATTGGCTGAACTATTTCCTGCAGGTTTGGGTTTTCATATCCAGGATCATATCACTTAACAGGTTAGGTTATTTGGTTTATAGCATTCAAGTAGCTACCATCAACAAACAGATAACCAGCTCCTGCTGAGACATCCTATAATACAACAGGCTTCACATTTTTATGCAACGTTCTGAAGTTATGCTCAGAACATAAGATAGAACAAGAAATAAATCCAAGAACCTGAATTTGTTAGTCTCTCTTCAAAGGTATGTACAAACAGATCAAACCCTGGATAAAAACCATTCTCAGCTATAGGAGAATGAAACTGAATTAACTGTTATCAAGATTGCATGCAGATCAATTTTCCGTAACAATGTCTATGTGTTTGCCACACTGATTGTTCAATTTTAATGAGGCCTAAACACTGTTAATTGGTAAGTATTCAAATTTGAGAAAAAAAATATAATTCATTCAAGGTCTTTGACTTAAAGACACTTTCATTGAGTTCTGCAATTTTTTTAGCCCATTTGACAGCAATAAACATTTCTTTAAATTTCTTAACTTTAAGCTTTAAAAAAGGAACACCTTTGGTGACTCTCTTATTTTCACTAATGCTTGACCTCAGTTTTTACACTACAACACTTGTCTGAGCAAAATTTAAATTCTAACTTTTCTGGATTGTTCACCTTAAATATTATTCTATTCCATAACTAGATTATGAACCCAAATTTATCCCTAACACCTACTATTTGCCATGGGCCTTGGAGTATTGACATGTGTGCTTGAATTTGTACAGAAATGAATCCTGAGGTTTCTGTATAGAAGCATAAACCATATCTTTGATGATTACATCCCATAAAAACAATAGCCCTTCCTTGGTTTTTGCAGTGTATTTTCTGTGGTTCAAGGAACAATTCACATCAATGTTCAGCTACATAAAAATTCTTCATCAGTGTTACCTTCACATAATAGTGGCTGTAGAATTGATTTCATAACTCTAGAGTAAAACTCTCTTGCAATTGCCACTCACTGTCACAAGTCAATTCCTTTTGAGTGGCAATCACCATTTTACTTACATGGCCTGAGGAGGCTGTGGCACAGCAACATTCCTTGAACGTCCTCTGCACACTTTGTGTTCAAAATCTTCCTTTGCACATCCTCTGCACAGAAACAGCCCCCCCTATAAAACAGATTCTTGAGTCTTGCAGGAAATTTTGGATTATTTAATAGGTAGCTCTTGTTTAGAACTCATCTTCCTAGAGATGCAATGTCAAGGCATCTGGACTAAACTGGGAAAGGTACTCATATCAAAATTGGTGCACATTTGATGGAGGAACCTGAAACAATTGCTTGTAAAAGATACTGAATGTATTTGTGCTCTGTGGTAGATACCATAAAAGATGTGTAGATCAAAACTGCTGGCTACCTCTCCAGCACATGCTGGAATATTCATGCAATCTGGGATTCCTTGTGCCTGTTTGAGTATTGTGGTTAGTGACATTCTGTCTAAGAAAGACAAATGAGAGATTTGCTTTTACATATTTATCAAGTGACCTCTTGCCCACCCTGCCAAATGTTCTGTCCTTATGTAAGTAAATTATATAAGTGTTGCTTTAAAAGTTCCTGAAGTTGTGGCCTGTAGAATCAGTTGGTAAATATTCCTTGTTTCTGAAAGCTTTATCTGAACTGAGAATCTTCAAATTTTACCATTGCAGTTACTCCTGTGCCAGCAACAAGATAGTTATTTTTTTTTGTTCTGTGTGGATTTTAACGATAGTAAAGAATCTCCAAATTTGTGTACAGTTTCACACAAATAAAGCACTGTGAATAGTGCAAATAGTGACAGAAAGCACAGTGGGGGAAAAAATCTATAAGAAAAACTGTGTCTAGAGCCACTAAACAATGAAAACCCCAAAACACAGCCACATACTCCTCAATCTTTCCTGTTTGTGAAATAGAAGCAATGCAAAACTATGACTGATGCCCTAACGGACTATTACAGGAATGAAGGCAGCCAAAGCAATGAAATGGATTCATTCTTCTCCCATCTTTCCATTTTCACTGAAATTTTATCCTAAGACAATGGGAAATCAAGTTTTGAGACCCAGCCTCTTGTTCTCATGTCCTCTTTTTTCAGCTTTGCACATTCTCAAGGTTTCCACAAACTAAAATTCTCCTTTTTTTTCCAAAGTCCTGTGCAGATTAAATAAAATCCTTCATCTGAGTCATGTTGGGAACTAACTGTGTTACAGCACAGCTGTGAAGGCTCTTAAGGCAGAGCCAACATTATGACTGCATAGGGGTGAAGCAGAGACAGCACCCACAGCATTTTCTCTTCCCAGCAGGAGGGACAGAAGCCAAAGCAGTTTAATGACCTCTGGTTGTACTGAGTGCTGGGGAATTTGACATCCATGGCCAGGGCGGGGTTTCTCTGTACTGAGCACGCACCTTCATCTGTCTCCAGGGATGGAATCCATTAATGCAGAACTTTGGCTCCATGCCTTTGTGAGGATGCTCCTCCTTTTTACTGAGGTGTCAAAATTATTTTGAAAGGAATCCTTTCTTCTAGTCTCTAATCCAGATTTCCACTTGGCAACTGGAAAAACTGCAGATCTGCACTTCTTAAAGAAATAGCACGGTCCTATGCACCCCAGGAAGTATTTGATGAAACAGCTACAAGATTCTCTGTCAGGAGAGTCTCTCATAAAGGCTTTTGTGCTCTGCAGCTTGTGGTTGTTGGACATCAAGGTAATATAGGATGGCAGAAAATATTTATAAATTTAAGAGTAAACTTGGTTCTGAATTTGTGTGTATGCTTAATTTTATACAATCACAAAAGAAATAGTATTTTGATATATCTCTAAGTAACATAAATGTGTTAAATTCATCAGAACAACAGTCTAAGAATGAATTATCATAAAAAGGAGGATATCCTTTCGACCTCGGGGATGGTGTAGAAAGTGGAGGTCCATCTTGCAAATCACTCCCTCTTGTTGGCTCTGCTCAAATCACCATTGCGCCAGACAGCACATGTGGGTCCCAGAAGTGCCTGGGTTTATTGTACTTCAGCTGTTGCTTCCTATGGTACCTCAACATCAAAAGGTTCTAGGCTTCAGCAATAGCAATCCAGAAGATTTTGGGAGCACTCTTTTTTGGTCATCCCTTTTAAATTAAATTTTTAAAAAATTAAATTAAAAATAAAAAAACAAACCCAAAACCAAACCAATAACTTTAAAATATGGCAAATATCTTTTAAAGTCATTGTTTCACATTTTTCTGTTTGCTGATTTACTGTTTTTCTAATGAGGGAATAAATAATCTTGTTTGAATTTACTAAAGAATAACAAAAGGCCATCCGTACTATGACTCATCCATTAGAAAAAACAGAAAAGAGAAGAACACAGGATTAAGTGTTTTAACTCTTGATCTGT